CTTCCAACGGTACACTCACAGTTTTCCGAACAATCAGATCTGAATAATTCTGCCCACCTTTTAGGTCTCAAACACTGAAGAAAGTACTTCTATTAAGCCTCTACGAAGCCCTCAAAAGGTAACCATCTTTGTTTTGGAAGGAATAAACCAATGAGAGTGCACGTATCAACGCGTAGTGGAATGCACCAATCAGCGACCGTTTTAGTTCGCTGTGTGCCAGGGTCTTCTCTCCTGCAGCCGCCATATTGAAAAGCGAGAAGACCCTGGGGACGAGGTTGGACCAATGCCTCATGGGAGGGAGCAAGGAAGGTTTAACTTCCGGTGCCAACCACAGGCAGCCCAAACTCACGTTACGAGGGAAGGGTGAGCTCTCCTGGTCAGCTAACCCAAACATGTCCAGCTTTGGCTGTGACCGTTGAAAATATGAGAGATTTTGTATGAGAAATATATTACTGAGATCTGCGAACGCTAAATAACGCTAAACCTTACTTTTTCTTAAATGAAATGAACAAAAAAGACTTACCTGCAATGTATTCCACTGCATTTTGGTGTTTGATTGTCGTTTACTGGTTTTTTTGGCTTTATTGCGTAACCACTGTTACTCCTTTCATAGAACGACGTGAAGGGTGGTCACTTCGATCTGTCGGGGTCCTGGACCAGTCGCAACAAGAATGCCGTTTTTTTCGCCGAACTCCACAGCAAACTTTTCAGCTCCAGCCCAAGAGGGAAACCTCTTCTTGCTCTCTAGGAGATCAGCTCGAAAAAAGATCCATAATTTCCCCATCAAATAGAGCCATTTGTGCCGGACTTCGAGGCACGTCTGGCTTTCGTCCAGTGCCTGTGACCACTGCTGCGCTTACCAACTAATTTGCATTATTATTATTATTATTTTTTTAACATTTATTTATACCGCGCAAATTCAACTAAACAGTTTTCAAATGCGCCTTACAATTAAAGATCTAAAAATATACCGTAAAAAAATAAAAATTACAACATTATATCAGAAAAGGCTTTTTTAAAAAGGTGAGTCTTCAAATTACGTTTAAAAACTTGAAAATCGGAGGTGCATCTAAGATCTGACGGAAGATTATTCCATAGCTGGGTGCGGCGGCTACAAAAGCTCGGTCACCAAGAGTAGGCAGAGTCCTAAAGTTAGGATTTGAAAGCAGATATTTGTCATTTGATCTGAGGCTGTAGGAAGAATTAGGTTTAAAGTTAACGAGAGATGATAAATAATTAGGAGCTGTTCCATAGATTGCTTTGTAAGTGATTATAATAACCTTAAATTCTATTCTACACGTCACAGGCAGCCAGTGTAATTCGTATAATATTGGTGTGATATGGCAAAACCGTGGTGCTAGATAGAGAACACTTGCAGCTGCGTTTTGAACACGCCGCAGTTTAGTGAGGGCGCAGTGGGGTAGTCCGTATAAAAGTGAGTTACAATAGTCCAATCTGCTTGTGATGAAAGCGTGCACTAATTTCTCGGCAGATTCTATGCTTAGATATTTTCTGACGCGTCTAATATTGTGTAGATGAAAAAAAGCACTCCTACAAGTTTTGGTTATGTTAAAATTCAGGTTGAAATGGCAGTCAAACCAGGCCCCTAAGTTTCTAAAGGGTTCTGTGCTAGGAGAGATGATGGATTCGCCAATAGTTAGAGTGGCGCTTTTAGTTTTCTGTAGCTGCGCCTTCGTCCCAATGAGCATAAACTCAGTCTTGGAATCACTGATCATGAGTTTGTCATTGATCATCCAGCTACGGATGTCACAGAGGCACGCTTCCATTGCTGCAATGGCGGAGTCTTGATCAGAATCATCGTTTGGATTGAATGCCAAATAGATACCGGTATCATCGGCATAACTGTGCGCCGTTGGCAAGTGCTGGCTAATGACATCAAAAAGCTCACTAGTGTAAAGAGAGAACAACATTGGGCCGAGACAAGAGCCCTGTGGCACGCCAAACTTCAGATCAAAACTGTCTGACTTTGCACTGCCGATTACAATACGCTGGGATCAATTAGCACTTACACGACGGGTGCCAGGGCGGAAATGACACGTCAACTAGGCTCTTGGACTGTGAAAAAGCGAGTGCTTGCACCCGTCCTGTAAGTGCTAATTGTTGATCTTCGAAAATTCATTATCACATTTCTTGATTGAATTATTCCGCAAATTTTATCCCCAGTTTTTACCATAATTCTACATTCATTTTTCAGTGTGTTTGGTCTTGGGGCGGTCTAAAATGCCAGGAAAATGCTGTTTAAATACATCATCATTCTTGTTTTCTTATTGCAATTTAAAGAAATGTTATTGTGGTTGTTTTTTTAAAAAATTTCACCCCCAAAAAAGGAAAAAGCAACGGGAACGGGAACGAAGTGGAAAAAGAAAGAAAAAAAAAAAACAAAACAAAATAAAAACTCAAATTATAGCTGAAACTAACACATAGCCTAACCCTAACTCTAACCGTAACCTAACTAAAACCTTAACCCTAACGCGAGCTTTCCTTCCATGATTGCCACGAAAACCCTCTTCTAATGGTCATGGGACTTGCAGGACGTGAAAATGACGGGAAAGCGAAAAATTGTCGAGTCCTACGTCAAGTCCTGGCTACGTATATAGTCATCCTCATAAAAATGAGTATGTAAATAATTATTAGCTCCAAAAGGAAAGTGTCGAATGCAAGTTTTCCATCCGAAAGTAAGTATCCATTTTCTCTCTTTTTTCACTACAGTAAATTAAATTAGCCGTTTCGAAAATAACGTCTTGGGTCTTTTGAAAAGGAAACCGGAGTGTTTCCTTTAAACAAGCACGGAATGATTGAGAGGAAAGGAGAAAAGAGATACAGCTAGATATGAAAGGCACTACGGAAATCTGGCGTAAGTAGTTATCGTGAACAGTTTCATCATAGCAATTGGCGTAGACTATAAAAGCATTTTGTCTTCTTCAAAGTACTAAGGAAGGACCAAAGATTTCTTAAACTGCAGTCTAAGTAAGACTTTGACCCTCAATCTTGGCATATTGGGTGGTCGCTTAAGGAGGGTTCGACTAAAATGAATAGCCTTATTCACTTTCTTAACTTGTGTCCTTCTGGTTCCAGTTGTTTGAACGCCGGTTAACGCTAACCTGGGGTTAAATTTTAACCCGGGTTTCTTTTTCTTGTTATCGAAAGCACTTTCTGGGATAATTTTCTCTATTCTTTTTAGAGTATCCAATCACCAAATTGTAGGCAAAGTGAATTAAACTGAATTTGCTTTTTAATCTCTCATATTTGAGTTCAAATTTCGCACTAACCCTGGGTTATCTTAACCCCGCTTCGAACAACCCGGCCCAGGGACTCATTTCTCGAAAGATTTGAAGGCTCTGGTGATGAGATTGTTGTCTCGCAAAGCTTGCGTGATGTACGCGCGCAAGCTCATCATACGCGCCAAAAATAGCTGTTCCATGGGGAAATCAACTGCAGTGTCAGCAGAGACGTCAAAATGGCGGAGCATATTACAAAGCGAAGCTACCGTCAACTTTAAAGTAAGCGAGGATGAAGAAGTAAAAATTCCAAAGTCTCTAAGTTGCTAACAGTTCTACAAATAAACAGGGTGTATGCGAGTCTATCCTAATTATAAACAGGGTATCGCCTGATCTGATTTGCTTGATGAAATTTGTTTGCACTCCAAGTACACAAAAGCAATAACTATAACGTGAAATTTGCTCTATTGCAAATGCCAATAAATGGCTTTAAAACAAGAAGGCGTGCATTTTGTCCTTTGTCCTAAACAATGTAATAGAATTGAGGGTATTGTCCTAAACAGGGCATGTACATTAATGGCGTTTTTGTCCTAAACTGGATCAGGTTTCAAACCCTCAGCGGCTTACCCATACCCAAATATTGGTCAAGTACCTTCCCCCTGCGGGGCGTCGGGGCAGAAACAAACACCATTTTGAAAACCGAGAAGCCCCTGGGGAGAGAAGATCCTTGGAACGAGGAAGATCACGTGACTGCGAAAAGTCACAAACCGTCGACAACTGCGAATGACACAACAAGATTTGGGAGGTTTTGCATGCTGAGCCGGTTCATAGAAGGCAAAGAAATAACAACTGGACACGACAAAAAAGAGGGAGTCCTTTGTTTTTACTGTTTAGGAAAGTCATTTCGCCATTTCGTGTGTTAAACACGCCCTTGGCTGAATTGATCCTAAACAATGAAATAAAATGTGCATGTTTTACATCCTTTTACTTAATATTTTACGTCTTTTGGGTAACGCGATGGGACATGTTTGTCTTCGTTTTTTTTTTCCCTTTCTTTCTTGCCACCAGATTCCCAGTAGAGCTGCACCGTTCTAAACCTCTTATTTCACTTGTCCCCTTCAATCTGCACTTCCATTGTTTTCAGGGATGGGGGCATTGTTATGTGACAATCCCTATTGCTTTCCCAGCTAAACAAAAACAATCTATCAAATAGGTGCGGGATCGCCCCAGACTTTCTCTGTCTTTCTTAGGCGGTAGCACTTAAGCACGACTAATTCTTACTACCAGAGACTAGTCTATTCTCTCTCTATTTTTATCTCATTAAAAATAAATCCCTAGAGCAAAGTATTTTCCTATTTAGATATATAGTAAGGTTCGTCGCAATTTTTAAACTGGCGACATATTTACCTATATAACGCCACTTCCACATTTCTCATAATGCACCTTATCTGCCACGCAAAATTTTGCATAACCTTTGTTTTTCATTTCCTCTGGGTATTACAGCCGTCCCAAGAGAAATTGAAAACAATGCTTATGCAAACTTTTGGGGGGCCAATAAGGTGCATTATGGGAAATGTGGAAGTGGCGTATTCTTGTTTGCAGCCACGTGACAAGCAGGTCATGTTAGATCCTGTCTACATGGAGTGGGGGACCCCGGTCTAGTGGGGTAGGTTTCTTTTGTTTTGTGTCCCCCATAGCGTGAAAACAAAAGAAACCAACCCCACCAGACCGGGGTCCCCCACTCCATGTAAACAGGCCTTTAGTGGTTCTGATACAAGAAAAATTAATTCAAATAATTTACATGAAAATGGAGTTCAGTTCCAAAAGGAGAGAAATGCTTTGGTTCTTCAACACCAACATGGCTGCCATGACATCACGTGTAAACCAGCAATACATCACTAACTGGTACAAAACCAACATAAAATATCAAAAGATTTGTCACTCTAAAAACAAATTGTATCGATCTAACTATTGGCCTAGAAAATGTTTTAACCTTGTCATCGTCTAATCAATAGGCACGTGCGTCTATTAAACTGCACCGTAGGATTGTATCCGTGTCGTTATCGCTTCATCTTCGCGCGGTATTCGGAAATAAAAAAATACCCATGGTGCAATTCGATAGAACACACTCGACCCGATGTTGGCCAAGTTCTCAGGCTCTTGAGGGGACAGTCACGTGTGATAAAAAAATTCTTCTTGGAACTTACGTTCATTAAGGAGTGAACCAGTCCTTTTATAGTACACGTCTCTGTAATTAATTCTCGAATTACATTGATTAGCAACATTTACCGACATACCTACAATGCCACTACTCGCAAAAAGGGCTCTCAATGGGCAGTGCACACAATTCAAGACTGTATAATAAAACTATCTTTACATAAGGAAATTCCACAGCTTTTCTAACAGTTTCTCATTGAAGAGGCATTAGAAGCGACGTGAAAAAACGTAAGCTATATCCAACGACAGTAAAAAGTAGGTTGTCGTATTTTCTTTATTTCTTTTCTTTTTCTCACGTCTAAACGCGTAGAAATTATCGAAGCGAGAAGGCTATGATCTAAGCACCTACAAAAATTCACTGTTAAGGGGAAGTTAAATTTGACAAACTGTAGTCTCTTCCAAGCGTCTTTATGTGTGCTCGGCAGGCGAGAAAATTGCAATAAGCGCCTCTGAGGCAGGCTAAACGTCGAACTTTTCATGAGACGAACCAAACTCTAATTTGGGTCGATCTAAGTTAGCTTAAATTAAGTTAGAGTCGTCCGTTGGGACAGACGTCTTTGATGTATTAGTTTAGTTCGTCGCATGTGAGGATTGAAGTTTGTCCCGGAGACGATGTTCAGAAGTTCTACCCGTCTGAAGCAAACGGATAGAACGTGTTGGACGATCCAAACTCATTCAGACGAACGTAACTGAGCCAGACGTCGAGCTTTTCATGAACTTAACTCCTTACGTTTGATTCGTCTCAGGGAAAGTTCGACGTTTGGACAAGGCTTTAGTCTCTCAAGTTTCACACATTCTCCGCCCGTAATTCTTTTGATTTTCGTTCGGCTATCACCTTAAAAAGAGCTGATAAATTACTATAAATATATTGACATTTATGCGTGTCAAAACCGCATTCAATGCCTTGGAAATTGGAAACGCATCACGATCAGATTCCCAATTCATAAAAATTTTACGAATAGCTACCTTCTTTCTAGCCAGTAAAGTTCGCGTCCTAGGGGTTCAATAGAGAGCTTTGCTTAAAAGCAACCGGAACGTCAAAATATCGGTAGGTTTGATTAGCAAAACTGCAACTCTTCACGTGCATGGCATCACACTTTTGGGTACATTAACAAAACAACTCTGAACGAGCACCACACTTTTTAGTACACTTCTCTGCCGTCACCGCAAAGAAACATTCAAAGGAAAATTGACGCGTGCAAAGGTGCTTGGAAAGGAGGGCGCTTCGAGGTTTTTCTTTCTTTCTTCCCTTGATGCACCGCGAACTCATTTAATCCTTCCCATTAATCACAGCGCAGATACAGAGAAGCTACTGGGTACGGGTTTGGTTTTGCTAAACTTTAGATATTACTTTTTTGACTTTCTCGTTACCGTTAGGCCTGTGCCGATTGTGCTCGGCAACTTTTGTCGTTGGGAGTTCAAGCAACCTCGAGCAACTTTGCTTTTCTGAGCAATTTTTGAGCAAAATATAGGTTTAGTGCACATATCAAGCATGAAAAAGTAAACGATTTCACAGAAAACTTCAAGTTAAAGGAAACGCTAAAGGAAAAATTTAATGCACATTTCAATCAATTATAAAAAAAGAAAAAGTTCTCATACAACGCCCTAGAATTTATAGCTGTCGCTGTATGAATAACTACTTAGCTAAGAAGAAAAATGTCGGCTTGGGCTACCTGTGGTATCGCCCATATTTGCGAACAACTCTTTAAAGGTAACTTTCAAGCTCTTTTTGTTGACCGATGTTGACAATTATTGTGAAGAACGGAAAATAAAGCTTTTTATTAACAATAACATTAAAAATATCAAGAAACTTACATAGCGACTTTTGAAATTTAGGTGGCAACGTTTTGGATTTGTGGCAATTTTTTTTAGCAACTTTTTAGCATCCCAGTAAGCAACTTTCCAGCATTTTACGAGCACAATCGGGACAGGCCTAGTTGCCGTCGCTGCCATTGTTGTTTAAGCTCCCTATTTAAAAACCCTAGGGAGAAAACGAGGACCCGAGGAGCTAATTCACTGAATGTCGCTCTATTTCTTCTCTTTGTTAAATGGAAGCACGTGGCGTCAAAACACTCTCCACGTGACCAGATGGAAGCCTTCGTTTATTACTGTTGATCTTGGTTTAGATAGGGATCTGCCAAAAGCTCCACAGCAGATGCGCGAGTTTCCTTTGGACTGAGTAGAAAAGTTAAAAACAAAAACGATATGTGAGGATGTAATGGCGGCACAATCAGAGTATTAGCGAGTGCTCTTGGCTTGGACAAATGAGTCGGCTTTTTTCTCATATAAACGCTAGCGAAAGTTAACTCGGCTGGAAGGGCGACCCTCTGTTCCGGGACAACTTTTATCCATACATGGTCCGTACAACTTCAGACAAACAAATTTAGGATTAATTTAGTTTTCTGGGAAGCTGCCCACCTACCTCTCCCCTAAGCCAACATTAACACTTACTTCTCGTTTAGGGCAAAATGCTGGCTTAGGGGAGGGGTAGGTGGGCAGTTTCCCAGAAACCTAGATTGATCCCAAATTTCAAGGATTTTTCAAGGACAAATTTCAGTTTTTAGGGACTAAGATTTATGTAATAATCTGGCATTCTTTAAGCCCCTTTTGATCAGCCTATTGGCTAAAACACGTCATGAAGTCATTTCTGATTTTTACTTCTTCGGCCATCACTAAGCACATTAATTTATACTACTTTCAGCAACAACACTTTGCAAAATGACTGGTTAGGACTTATCTGAGGTACAGAACTGCATTTGGAATAAAGAAACAGAAATCAAATATTGTTCATGCACACATTACCCATGAGTTGTACAGGTTCTTACACCAAAGTTGAGCCAAATCTTCCTCGGCAAAATAATCATATTTTACGCAAAATGGTGGCTGGCGTAGAAAAGGTAGTGAATTGCATGGACTTTTCAAGACCTAGTAACGAAATCAAGTACTTTTCAAGGACCTTAACTGAATTCAAGGACTTTTCAAAACGAATACTAAATTTCAAGACCTTTTCAAGATTGTACGAACCATGTCCATTTAAACTGGACCTAAAATACAAAAGATACAATACAAAGAGTATGGATGGGCTCAGTAAAAACCATTTTTTTCTTCAAAGAGACATGTTCTGCTCTCTCAGCCAGGTAAGAAATCTCAATAGGATACTCATATATTTGTGAGAGCCATAGAGCCATACTACCATAAGAAAGACAATCTTGACTCTACCTCTCCCTAACTAAAGAATAAACTCATTCCAAAAAGCCGCGACAAGCTTAATATTCTCTTGCTTAAGTCAGCCCTAATAACCTCACTTACTATAAGACAATCTTTTAAATTCTGATCTTAAGAACGAAGTTAGTGAACAAAAGAATATTAAACTAGCCAGCACTTTAGGTATGTAGGTAATGAACTTACCAAAGGCACCGTTTTAAAAACCCATACGCCAGGGACGTACAATTAGTCGGTGGTTCAACTTGATTGTTTATAATCCGGTACATTGATTGCCTTACAGACAGCTTTTCAAAGAATAAAGGTGGCTTTGTTGTTAGCATCTCTACTACTGTACATCCAACACTCCTAAAAGCAATGCAAGAACTGTAAGAAATCTCAAATTCGAAGTGAAGCAAAATTTCGGAGAACACCGACTTTGAACATCGTGCCGGAGCTGTTGACCGAGAGGGTTTGGCGCACTAAATCCCAGTCCTCACTGCTAAATATTTGCTTCCGTCTCAGTGGGTTCCAGTCCTCTCTCCTACTCCTACGGTCCAAACAGCTCAAAACACTGTGACAAAGAGTGGCAGAAACCTATCCGATATGTGACAATCCACTCTCAAGATCGTCGCGGCGCAGCTTCGAAATCAAAATCACCGATCTTATGTCTGAACAGAGGCCCTATCCGATATACTGAATTTATTCGATTGAACGCCGCATATGGAAGCAAATGCCGCCCTTGAATAAACGCCACACCTTGTCAAAAGACTGTGGCGACTATTCGATGAGGATAATGAGGAAAAACTCGGTACAACTTGGTAATCTACACCATCCAGACAATTACGATATTGGAACTTTTAAATTACATAATATTTAAAAACGACTTACAGTAACTGTTGTCACTGATTTAAGAAAAGTGATTTGGAAACGAACGCCGCCCTTGAATAAACGCTGCGGCGTTTCATCAAATAAATCAATACGGCAGTTTTCGTGTTGGCGTAAAAGCTATCCGGTACAGAACATAGCCTAAAACTGACTACTCTGGGTGCCAAAGACTTTTCTAGCGGGGTTTCCGGTTTCTGTCACGTCTCCACCGCTCGTGGCTTTGGCCTACGGCCGAAGATGTGTCGGCCTTCGGCCAACAGCGAAAATTCCCGCCGCACGCGAGAAAAACCTCTGGTACCCAGGGTAAAAACTGAAGGAAGGGCTCGTGACATATAACATCTTGTAAACTCCCATGCGTGGAATCCGTCAACTCCACAATTTAGCAAAGACATCGACGTATGGGGAGGATGATAATAGGGAGCTTAAGCAGCGACGTTTTTGAGCGACGCACGTCAACCGGAAGTGAGGTATTTTCCCTCTTAACATGCCTTGATGATATAAAATTTGTATTCCTTAGCTTCTTTACTGTTATAGAGGCGATTTGACTGAAAATTTGCGCGAAACCACCGTCAAAAAATGAAAAAAGGCCACTTCCGGTTGACGTGCGTCGCTCAAAAACGTTGTTGCTTAAGCTCCCTATTACTCGCTACCGTAACAACGCTGCCTAGTGTTATAACTTACAAACCTGAAACTCAGACAAAGAGACAAAAACATGAAGTCAAGTTCACCACAAGCAAGAAAGCCGTCGAATTCTGCTTACCATATGTCTGTATTTCGACTAAATTTTTCCCCAGCGAGAAGCTCAGGGCTTGTCCAATAAAAGGACGCTACATTATTTTTAGTCACCAGGCCACCGGTGGCAGTTCTCAGTTCCTGTAGAAATCAACAGGTAGTCATCACTGACTCGTCCCCAGTCGTCTCTAAGTTGTCTCTACTCATTAATTATTAACTAGGGAAGCGCTTGGGTTATGCTTTGTTAAAGAGCCCGTTATAGTCTTCCACGCCGAATACTAATAATGAGAGACGACTGGGGACGAGTCAGTAGTCATCAGGCTAGCCTCCCACGCAGGCGTTTTTAGGGGAGCTCGTATTTCGTGGGACGAAATACGAGCTCCCCTGAAAACGCCTGCGTTGGAGGCTATCATCAGACAGACAACAAAAAGTCTGTTATAAGTGCGAGAGGCTAGCAATAAAAACAAGTACAGTTGAACCTCCATGTGCGACTATATATCTCCCATAAGCGACCACCTATCAAAAACAGCAAAATTTTCCCAGTCAGATTACTTTGGTTGAAACCTCTCGTAAGCGACAGGTATATGAACTCAGTGTAAGTACTACCCTTTTTCAGGGCAAAGCCGTATGTAAATAAAATTATGTAAATCACATATAAAGGACATGATCTTACCTCCATTATTGTACAGATTCCGAAGTCAGCCAGTTTTATGTTTTTCTGGGGGCCATCCAGCAAAATATTCACGCCTAAAATATCCACTATATTCAATTAACACTTAAGCAATGTCCACACACCATTAAAAAAGTTCCATGTCCACACTAACATTTTCTTATCTTAAAAGGAACATATGCCCGTTTACAACTAACGTTTTCTACGTTCTTCTAATGTTATTTGCAAATATGAAAATAAACGTCGGTATAGACTACAGCGCCGCAATGGCAAGTCGTAAAATTTAATAAGAAACGCAGCAACTCATTCACCCCAGGGAAAGTACAGTATATTGCCTGCCTATGTTCAAGCTTGCGTTCTCACAGAAAAAATTGGAAAGCGTTGTACGAAACCTTCGTTTACATGAAAACCTGTTTTCGAAAACCTTGAACCACTCAGGCTTGCGTACAAGAAGGAACAGCTTTTCAAACCTAACCTTTTATATCTTTATGTACAATGTGCTTTTTTCCATTCGTGTGGAGGTAATCAACAGCAGAAAGAAGTTGTCTTGTGAACTTAACCACCAAAGGTTCTTCCAAAGGTCCGTTGTTCCTAACCAAGTCTTGTAGAGTACCCTGGCGGAAAACACGTTCACTGTTTACAAAAAGCTTGCGGAAATTCCGGTAAGAAAGAAGAAAGACTAAGAACATGACTTTTTGAGTCGTTTAAGAGGAAAATTTCCGAGAGCAACAGAATGTCTGAAAAGGTAGAACTGTTTTCAAGCCGGAATGTTCGACACGGAAATTCGTGCCCCATTTCTCCTAACAAATTTTTGATACCAATATGAGCATTTTGGGGGCGTTTCTCGAAAATAACATGGCAGTCCGCCCGGGTGGGCGAAAATTACATGATATAATTATATGTACATGATAAACATATCATGATATACATGATATAAACATATTTACCGAAAACAAACAGTAAAAAACAATAAAATAAATATGAAGCACATGTAAATAAAATAAGAAAAATAATCGGTGAAGTGTTATTTACAATGATATTATACAGTTAGTTGACATTTAGGGTTTATTTCAATTTTATAAATCCTGCAGTTAACTATTCTGACCAGTTTACATTTACTCCATTTTTCTGGTTTAAATTCCATATCTTTAATTTACAATTTTTTGCATTATTTTAAGTTCATACACTACTCCCTTTAAACCAAATCCCATTGATTTTATCTGAACTTTTATATATAAAATTAAAGCCAACATATTTTGATTAACTTCAATTTTTCTTACCCCTTGCATGTATTCCAGAAACAGAAGAACGGTGTTGTGAATACGTTCCACAAAAAAGAACTCAACAATGTGCTCGTGTTTTAACGAAGTTAATGCCGTGACTTCAATTTCCATAGACTCTACTGCCTAAGTCCAAAAATGAAAAATAAACCACAAGTGACAAAAGTTAAAATTCAACACAATTTTTTAAAAGTTAGAACCACCCTGTATAGCATAATAAACAGTACCACAGGAAAGTACTGAGCACTCAGTAGCTTTCATTTGAATAGTCACATCATAGGATTTCATCCACAGACTCAAAAGTTAGAATCACCTTGTCAAGCATAATAAACAGTACCACATGAAAGTACAGCACAGCAGCTTTCATTGGAATGGTCACACCATAGGAATTCATCCACAGACTAAAAAGTTAGAGGCACCTTGTACAGCATTGATGATAAACAGTACCACATGAAAGTGCTGCTCAGTAGCTTTCATTTGAAAAGTTACACCATAGGATTTGGTCCTCAAAACTCAGTACTTAGAACCACCTTAATACAAGACACTCCATAGTTGGTTCATGCACAGCCTTCTGAGTGGGAAGTTACGAGTTTGATTCCCAGTAGTGACGTCAAATCCTTCGTAAAACTTATATGCTTTCCGAGCACCTTTGAGTAGTTTTTAATACCCATGAATATGGAGAACTCCTGTAGAAAGTGGTGGTGGTGGGGGTTGTGGTGGTGGTGGTGGAGGTGTGTGGGGGTTACCAATGTAAAATATAGACCTTTTACCACTTTTATCTTTTATTCACTCAATCCCTCTGAAAATCTCACTACATGCCTTCATTACAAACTCTGGAGAACTTCATATTCAGACCAGCAAACCAAAATCCAAGAAATACCCAGGTAATGGACAGGAAAAATGAACACAAAAATATTTTTGCACTGCTGTGACTATTAACAGAACAATAATGTTATAAATTGTACTTATAAATTTGTACCTTTTGAGTGTCACTTGTATTTGCCCCCAGATCACACATCTTAGAAGCCATTTTCTTGCCTGTTCGTTTTTCAACCACAAGATAGACCTGTTATAAGAATATCAAGCCTCAGTTTGCCCCTAAAATTCTAGGAGTTAACCAAACTTAAAGTTTAAGGAAACTTCACAGATAATGTTAATCAGAAGTAAAATTTTCATTGTACTTAACTGTGTCCAGAGACTTCAAATGAAGAATCACATTTTTGGAAGTGTTCCTGTAGACATACTTCCCCGGCCAATATTATTATGGTCTAAAATTGCACCTGATTGTACAATCCCTAGGAAACCTCATAACTAATGAAAACTAGACTAATTCTGCACAATATCAAGTAGGGCCTTACAGAGCCTCGAAAGTAAAATTTTAAGTCATTCTTGATCATCTGTGATGCATTGTAAAATGGAGAAGTAAATTCCTAGACTTGTCAAATAATAAATAAATCAAGGGCAGATTAGGTGAAAGTCTAATTTTAAAAGTTTCCCTGGGGTATTCTGATCATGGAAGTGAGCCACCACTTGGACCCAAAATATTTCAGTCACTCAGAAACAAAACTAAAGAAAATTATTATATAAACACCAATGAAATACCAGGTCAGCTTTCGCACAAAAACGTGATATCCTCACACATGAACTCCATTGCTAAGGCTACATAATAAATCACACCTTTTGCAACAAAAAAATATTTAAGTGAAAATGGTTTGGAATTTCACTGGTGTTTATATAATAAATAGAACACTACATGGCCACGTGGAGATATGAAATTTCTCTTCTCGTATTGAAAAGTATTTCACTCATTTGCTGCACTCACTGAAACAGAAATTTTGCATCGCTGCATGGCCATGTAATATCCTCTCTTTATATCATTTTACACCAATGAAATGCCAGGTGAGCTTTCACACAAAAACATGATAGCTTCACATGTAAAAATATTATGCTATCTTCACATGTGCAAAGTTCACAGTTGCTATGGCTGAAAATACATATTGCGCCTTTCTAAGCAAAAAAATAATAAAGTGAAGTTGTTTGGTATTTCATTGATGTTTAAATAATAAATAAAACAATACATGGCCACTTGGAGATACAAAAAATGATTTCTCATCACATGTTGACTAACTTGTTCACTGGGCTCACTTGTGAAATATTTTTGATCTCATGAAGAGATGTTTCATATCTTTGCGTGGCCATGTAATATCAAGGCCTTGTTGGGGTAAAATTCACACAAGCGTCATGGCCTTGATACAACAATGCAAGATAGAGGAAATGGCGACAAACGACACAAAGATGGGTTCAATCTGTGACAGCGACAGGGAAATTCCAAATATAATAGTAAAATACCGACAGCAACATGGCCTCCTCTTCCACACATGAAACAACGGGTTTTGAAATTCAGACAAAGAACATGCATAAACCCCCTGAGGAAGGCCTCAATATTCTCTATGCACACTGTATTTGTACCCTTTACCTTAGCATATCCTCCAGATCCTAAGAATTTCACCGGATCATACTTCTCAGGATCTAGGAAGCACCCATCAGATTGAAGCTTTCCTTTCAGCTCTAGGTCCACCTGGGCATCTGTTACTGTGAAAGGTTTGAACCCAAGAGTCATTTCATAAGTAGGTTAGTGGTTGAGCATGATCGTCCGGGGGAGTTTAGTACTGAATAGGACTATTGTTGACAGTGACTGACCTGTGCAGTAGTCATTTTCAGATTGGAAGTGAGTTGTATCTAGTCAATTGATGGTATTAAACTCTGGTTATTGAGCTGATTGATCAATTAAGTAAATTGGTCATCTTTCAGTTAAGCAATGATGTCATTGGCTAAGAAGACTCTGTTTCATTGGTTCATTTTGATAGATCTTTTGTTACAGTTAAACAATTATTTTTCATTGTTAGTCAAATTGTCAGTCGTCCAGTCATTTGTCGTCAGTTTTGTTTCAGTCTGTCAATAAGTCATTGGTACAGTGTCGGTAACAGATGACTAAGATTTAGTAGCCTAAAGTTAGTAAACCAGCTTTCTAATTTGAGTCATTGATGGTACTAAGTCTGTAGAATACGAAATGCATGTGTAACTGTACCTGCTCCTGAATCGTGCACATCCACTTCTCTCCCAGCTGTGGCCTGTTCAGGGACTGGTTGCCTGAAATAAAACAAAATTGCACCACCATTAAAGGAGCTGTGTCATGAAATTTATCATAATTCAAACAGTGAGTCAGCTGCCAAAAAAAATAATAAACACTCAAAACATTCTTTGTCACACAAAAAATTTTTGCTGCCCTCTTCTCTTTGCCATCCTGTTGCAGAAGCTCACTATTATGGCACAACAACTCAACCTGATGGAGAATCCCAACCTTTTTAAAGCTGATAAGGGTTTAGTAATTTTTAACAACAGGCTAGGAATTAACTCAATTTAAGAGCAAATCTTCAACCTCACCTAACATGCTGGTATACAAGCAGATTGGACTCAGGAGGGTGAAAGATAGACTTTCAGACCAAAATTTCATAATATTGTAATAAATATTTATTTTAATCATCAGACAACCAGTTTTTATCCTTTGTTTAAATTGTCTTTCTCTCGTTTTGGGGTTACGTAAAATCACCTGTAGCAATTATTTAATTTTTCATGTCTTATCCCACCTATCAAACTGGTTACTGTAACAAGCTGTCAGTTATAATAAGACTAAACAGTCAAATACACATGCAGTTTTAGCACTGATTTTCTTTGACCTCTGATCTCCTCGTCTCCTCTCTGATCTCTGGTTTTCACTGCAGCTATACAACCTTTCAGTAAAGATGTCAGGTTTTTTTTTCCACAATAACTGGCATGTAGTTTTTTTGTCAGTGAGTTGGATGAGGCCAAGCTCTTTAGTGTTGTTACATGTAATTGTTTGTAGGATCTTGAATTCTCACAGGATAGATAACTACTGGTCCAAATTGTAGCTTAACTGAAAGCTAAACCAACTATGGAGAATTGAGCTGTAAGTCAGTCAAGATCTTTAGGCGCCGACAAAGTCCAAGTTGATTTTTCTGGAGATAAACGAGTCTTTGGACTATAGCCTGATGTCCTGTAGTTCATCCGTTGGTAAGAGTCTTAACAGTGTGTCTGAATTTCTGTTACAAGTCCTAAAGCAAGACTGCAGTTTCAGAACTAAAGTGTTCCTTGTCAGTTGCAATTAGTGAAGAGGTATTGAGCATTTAAATTGCGATCATGACATGTTCCGAGATAAGAGTTGCTACTGCTTCTGTTTGCTCTGTTTTTCAAGTTCCCATTTTCATCTCTTATCCGACCTATCAAACTGGTTACTGTAACAAAGACGGAATTCATAAAGAAATTCAGTAATTTTAATTTTCATTGGACAAAAACCTTGTACTAGAATAATTTAAACAATATCACATTCCTTTTTTACATTTTTGAAGGGCTATAGATGTAATTAGTTATCTGTAATAACACCAAAGAAAATTTCTTATGGGAGCCTGAGAAAACGAATATTAAATTTCACAAAATGACATCTTTCACATGAAATTTGCAGAATTTTACCTGTGTTTTCAAAGTTCTTGTGAAATTTGTCATTTATTTTCTCAGGCTCCCATGAGAAATAGTCTTTGGTGTTATTACAGATAATAAAATAATAATATTATTATTATACCTATATAGCCCTTGAAAAATGTAAAAAAGAATGTGGTAGTGTTTAAATTATTCTGGTACAAGGCTTTTGTCCACTGAAAGTTGAAATTACTCAATTTCCTGATGGATTCCGTCTTCTTTCAGCTATACATTTAAATACAAGACTAAACAGTCAAATACACAAATTAATTTTGTTCAAACCTTGAGAATGTATCAACAGCCCCAGGAGGGCGAGGTATTCTTGTTGAGCCAGTAGAAAGATCTGTTGTGCTGGCGGAGGCATTTGAAGCTGCATGATGCACAGGTTCAGCTTGCTCCTGGGGCTCCCGTAAACTTTCAGTCACTGGCACAGGGACCCTACCTGGCTGTTGAGGCCGCCGATGTGCAGCTGTACCAATTGGGGTACTTGTTGGTGATATAATTGGCAAAGCTGGCCTAAGTGGATTTAAATTTGGAAATGGCTGTCTTTCCTCTATTGGAGAACCTGTTAAGCAAATTGCTGTAGTCAATAAACCAAGAAGAAATTGAAGAAACCATGTATATAGGGTTATTGCAAAAGCAAGCATTTCCTTTTCACCCAAGCACAAAAGTACAGGGTACAAGTCAAAAGTGATCACTGGGCACTTCTGTCAGATGTAAAACGAACCTGTTGTAGTGGTATTCATCATAGCTTGCTGTTCAGCCTGAACGATATCTAGTACAAGAAAAAAGTGTTAAAGTCAACACTGACCATAACTTTTCAATTTGGAGTGAAACATAATATTTCAGTTAAATGTAGATATTGTGGTTCTATACCACCATTTTTTAAAATGGTGGTATAGATTATCAAATTTAAAAATTTGATATTTCTTTGTTTTCTTGGTAAGGCAATGTACGATAATGGTGTTATGGATGTAAGTTACTCAAACTTGTCAATAATGTTGGTTGGAAGATATTAACAGCGGAGCTTATGAGAAAAAGTTTATATATCATCAAAAAATGTTACAGATAAAAAACCAAAGATTTACTTTTCATGTACCTCTAACTCTTTCTGACAGATCACGCCTTCCTGTTTTGTCCAGGGCTTCTCTTAAAACCCCCACTGTGGCGCCTTCACCTCTCCGTCTTTTCCATTCAGCAAACATCGCCATACCCTTTTCTACTACACGACGATGTTCCATGTCAATATTTGTAATGGCCCCCTCGGGAATACCAAGGCGTCGACCAAGCATTTTCCAGCTGGTACTAAGGTCTTCCACAAGATCATGCAGCAATGTGTCAGACACTTGCCTGTTGTTTAGATTTGATGGCAACATCACTGCCGTACCAACTGCAATGTAGCAAAGATGGAGGAAAATGTTGCAATTGGTCGCAAACAGCAAATGGCATAATACAAAAGATTGAAAAGACACTGAATAAAAACCACACCACAAAACAAAAGTGAACCATTGAACAATGGTTTCCATTGCCTGCGTGCAGACGTCTCCTATTTCCGTTGTTGCACGCAGAAAAGGGACGTCTGCGTAACGCCGTCGCTTTTCGTGTTCCAGCGTCCTGCTGGCAGGGTATTCTATTTCGCATAAATTGTGAAATAATATCCGGTTAGAAATAAGAGTTGACAGGCCAAACAAAACATCATAAGCTTGTGACCTTGAGAGTCTGCTTGAACAGAGGTATTTCTTCTTTTCTCTCTCGTGCGAAGATTACTAGCACTACACAGTACATGTAGCATTCTAACCTTTGACCGAGTAAATCTCATTTTTGCCGCACGAAGTCTTACATTTAGAGGTCATGAAGCAGGTTTGTTACATGTATACTGAGTAATCATTTCCTGTGGTTTATGCTTCTGTGGGTGTTCCCGATAGGATTTGATTTCAGATGCAGTTGTAAAGTGTTTAAATTTTCTTGACCTCTGTTTGTTGCAGCTAAATAAAGATTTTAGTTTCTTTGGCTGGCTTTCTCCGAAATGCCTGCCTGGTGCGAAGTCCACGCCGCTTTTGTAGTTTTCTCAGACACTGTTTACAAATATGATGTGATGTGTCATGCCCAGTAAATTGTAAAGAAATAATTTCCTTGCACACGTTAAATTTTCCGCGTCCCCGCACAAGATTTCGATCGCTCTGCTTTTCGATCAACGAAAAACACAGCACACAATCGCACATGTTTTGATTTGTTTTGGTTAGAAAACCCTGCTTGCTTAAATCATTTAAATCACCACATACATTATCAGACCACATTCGATAACAACCAATCAGCGTTAAGTCAAACAATGCACACTGTGTGACAGCCTATCACAGCGTGTTCCCAAGATCTTGGGAACCCAGCAGGACGCTGGAACACGATTAGCGACGGCGTTACGCAGACGTCCCTTTTCCGCTTGCAACAAAGGAAATAGGAGACGTCTGCACGCAGGCAATGGTTTCCACAACACCAAGAAACACCTGTTTTGACCATTTGTATTAGGTTTGTCACATGTGAAGTTCAATACTGGGTCTAACTGCATCAAGTATCAGTCATTGTTTGTACTTACTTAGTCCTGGACCTACAGCATTTGGATCCCCTGAGAGAGAAGAAGAAAAAATATTCAAAATAATAATATTAATAATATTCTATGATAAAACTGTACTAATTATTTTCAATTGTTGACAAGGGTTGAAGAGGCATCTACTAGCAGGGAGGGTGTTAAACCCTCAAACCCCCAATATCCACATACAAATTCTCCAAACTGATCTCCATTCATTTCCTTTAAGAATTAGTTGAGAGAATTTAATAAAACATCAAGGCATTTTCTCTTTTGTGATCATTTTTTATATTCTCACAACCTTATCTCTTGACAATGTATGGACATTGTTAGGAGAAAATTGCTGTTGGTCACTATTCGGACTTAAAGGGTTAAAGAAAAAGAACAAATCAAAATTTGAGGGTAAATTCCACATTATAGTACAAAAAAGCTGAAAGACATTTTTTCTGGGAGATTAGGTGGCCTGTATTGGGAGACCAGAAGATTGACAGGTTTCAAGCAGAATCACAGTAATCCCAGTTTAGCCTGCCTAGCAAGCGTTTCCGTGCGGTTTAGGAGCAAAGAATGAGGAACGAGAGTCAAACACCACGCGAAAAATGGCGTAAGTAAAAGAGCAGGGAGGGGGTGGGGAAGAAAGGAAGGAAACACTTGCAAACAAACCCCGGGATTTTGAAAACCGCCCACTTGGCCTGTCATGCCTGAGTTTGGGCACAGACATTTGATGCTGTCATCAGCTGTCATAATTGACCAATAAAATGTTTGGCTTTCAGTGGAGCGGAAATGGACTTCAGAGGACGCGTATGTGAACCCAAAATATATTTTTTGTATTTTGTAACACCACAGGGGGCCCACACAATAGGTTTGTGTAGCCGATTGTTATTTTATAGTAAATGTACTGGATTTACCGTTTGCTTCACCTATAGCGATATATCGCTAACTATGTATATAAATCAATGATAAATAAACGTTGAATTACCTTACCTGTGGTGTATAGTCGTCCGTTTGCTTCAAAAGCGGTTTTTTTGAGCGATTTTGAATGAATTTGAGTTCGCCGTTGACTGTTCCATATAATAGAAGGACAAGGAGGAATCCTTGTTTTGAAAAGGGTTCCAGCGCCGGGCGATTTTCACCCTCAAAATCGCATCGCTCCGCTTTCAAACTTCGCAGCATAAAGGTTAAAAGATTCACGATTCTTCTCGTATCTTCCAATCGAAAATCCATCCAAGCGGCCGGAGCTAGCCCTCGAAGAAAATCAAAATCCCACAGTATTGACGACTGGAATTCGTAGCAAGATCCATACGTGCCAGCCAGAAACCGTCCGCTGATTGCCTCTTTTTGATTGGATGTCGTTAAACAACAAACGCTTACCAAGTCTTCTTCATCAGTTATTATTTAACCATTTGTTTAACGACATCCAATCAAAAGAGGCAATCAGCGGGACGGTTTCTGGCTGGCACGTATGGATCTTTGCTACGATTCCAGTCGTCAAATACTGTGGGATTTTGATTTTCGATGGCTAGCTCCGGGCCGCTTGGATGGATTTTCATTGGAAGGTACGAGAAGAATCGTGAATCTTTTAACCTTTATGCTGCGTTTGAAAGCGGAGTGATGCGATTTTGGGGTGAAAATCGCCCGTGTTGGAACCCTTTCAAAACAAGGATTCCTCCCTTGTCCTTCTATTATGTGGAACAGTCAACGGCGAACTCAAATTCATTCAAAATCGCTCAAAAAACCGCTTTTGAGGCAAACGGACGACTATACACCACAGGTAAGGTAATTCAACGTTTATTTATCATTGATTTATATACATAGTTAGCGATATATCGCTATAGGTGAAGCAAACGGTAAATCCAGTACATTTACTATAAAATAACAATCGGCTACACAAACCTATTGTGTGGGCTCCCTGTGGTAACACATGGACGGCGTTCATGTTGAAATATCAATGAATCCAAACGATCAATACAGGCTTTGGACATTTGTCTTTTTAATCCGTCTAACAGAGCAGTCTGTAAATCACCATCTGAGAGCATTCAACATCCCTCAAAAAAACACTAACGAGCTGGGCCCAGCATTGCAGGAAACCATCGCATTTGCGGACAAACAAAAATCGCTTTTAGTTATTCAGATCCAGGGGGCACTTTGGAGAATAAATTAAACAACCTGAAACCCTCATTTAGTTGCAAGAAGAGCCTTACGTTTTAAAAAAGGTCAAAGGAAATGCTCTTGCATTGGAGGACAAATCTTGCCGACCAGAATGAACAACAACCACTGAAAATTAATATACCTGTCACGTACCATACCGTCCTCTCAGTATGAAACAAACCTTTGATCGACACATGTCAACATTGTTCGACTAGCCGAGCCAATCAGGCGCTGTGTTCGCTGGCGAATGCAGGTTTTCAAAATCGAGGGGTTTGTCTGCAAGCGTTTCCTTCCTTCCCCTCCCTCTCCCCCCACCTTCATTTTTTGGCTCGTTTCATTTCTCGCAAGGCCAAAACTGAGAATCCCGTTCCTCGGTCTTTCTTTGCTCCAAAACCAGACAGAAATGCTTGCTATGCGGGCTAATCTCAGTTAGATGGCATTAAATGAATGAAGAGACAGGTCATTATTTCCATACACACAATTTCCAGGAGTTTTTAGTAGGAATATGCCCTCTGGTTTGAAGTCATTTGTGTTTAACATAGACTCTGGAGTCTTCAATGTAATTGGGTAGAGTTCTTCTTAAACTATGAAATATCAGAATTTTAGAAAGTGTACATGTACCTCTCTATCTGGGCATGACTTCAATGTATAAAAAATTAATTCTCTAACAGCTTAGAGAAGTAACTTGACTTCAATCAAGTCAGCTGGATCAAAAGAAATTTCCACGCGATAGGTTTTATGGATTAAATAAAGTACTGAGGCAGATCTTAACGTGCTTAATAAATTAATGTTTGTATAATCATATATAAGCTCCTTGACAGTATTTTTGATAATCAGCGTACTGACTTCCCATCCCATGGTAGATGAACGCAAAGTTCGTTTTCCTGTAATAGAAAAATCTCTTTAGATTGCTGACTTGGGCTAAAACTTACCTTGTATTCCTAAGAGTTTGTTTCTTAAATCATTTCTGTTGACAGCAATCAGTTTGGACGCCAAGAAATCTCTGTTCTCTTCTGACAGCATGTTGAGTTGTTCCAAAGCGCCAAAAAGTTCGAATCCTCGGTTGATTCTCTCCAATCTACCGGCAGGAATGACATCTCCACACAGGAATTTAAGCTCCTGCAGGTCTGCAGTGGTCAAACTGTTGGAAAGCTCCAACAGTAGCGATCTATAGCTGCTCATATCGTTGCAATTTTGATGAACTTCGAATCAGTGAGTTCAGGACATGTCGACCAACTAGGAAAGGAGGAAGAGGATGGGCTCATGAAGCCTCATGGGATTTCTAATAGGTTTTGATTTCCGGTTCCGGTCTCAACTGTTCGCAGCGTTTGTTCGCGTATTAAAATCAAGTAAATTTGAAGCTCAAGAGTAAGTTATTTTTCAAATAACTACCTGCTAAAAAAATTCTTCACAGAAGACCGTCAACTTGTTTTCAGATTCTATTTTTAACCATTTTAACTTAGTTTTCAGATATTTACCATATCAATGGGTGTGTAACGATTGCTAACCGAAACAGTTAAGTTTTCTGGTTATGCAGGACTTTCTCTGTTTCAAATAATCTGGAAAAGGATGAGCCAAAAACCTGATAACTTCTACAACTGTGCTTATCCCACCCTTCCACCCCACCCTAGATACCTTTTTTGACTGTCTCGTGTCTGAACCAGTCATTGACGGCCATGTTACAAAAACATTAACCAATCAAATCTCGCCAGGTGAATAATTCGAGTGTAAACATCTGTTGAAATCTGATCTGTCACACTACCATATTACTGCACAACCTGGAAAGTTAGCATGGCAAAAAATCAAAAGAGCCTGTTAGTAACGTATATTATATGGTTGATGTGGGGATGGTTCGGTTTACATCATTTTTATCTCGGCCGAGATATTCAAGCCTTTATCTGGTGGTCAACGATCGGTGGCTTCTTTGGTCTGGGTTGGTTTCGTGATCTTTGGCGAATTCCAGAGTACGTGGACGATGCTAACGACGAGGCTTACTTCGTTGAAGAGCTAAAACGAAAAATAAGACTCCGCAAGGAGCCAGCTTTTAGCGTGACTAGATTTGCTGGGCAAATGCTAGTGGGATATTTTTACGGTATTCTTGTTCGACTAGCCATACCAGAGGAAGCAAAATGGCTTCCTTCCTTGCTAGTACCGCTTGGTGTAGCGGTTGGCGTGTATCTTGTTGGAAATATCGGCCGGGAAAGAGGCGATTTCAAGTATCCTTTGGTAGGAGCTTTTCTCTCCTACGCTGCCTTAGCTTTTCTTACCAGTGACGAACCTGGGAATATGTATGTGGCTTTGATTGCAGCGATATGTTTTCAAAACCATCGCGAATTTCGTAAAGAGAAAGCACCTACGAAGACACTGTGCAAGCGAGTTCAGTACCTCGCTGTTGGAGTCGTCGTGATTTCCTGTCTGTGGAGCTCATTCCTTTACTTCAATGCACAAGTTACAACAGAGGATGGCGAAACAGTGAAACTACGCGATGCTGTTAACCATTTCTTCCAGTCTCCGGTGTGGCTTGAGTTTAAAGATGTATTTTGGGGTTTGTACGAAGAGGGGCAGAGAAGTGGCTGGGACAATGTCTACGAGGAGTTCGTTAAAGCTCTGGATCCCAGAGGAGAGAAAAATGCATATCGCATACTTGGACTTACAGAAGATGCAACCCAAGAAGAAATCAAAAAACGATACAAAAAGCTTGCCGTGAAATGGCATCCAGATAGAAATCAAAACAATAAGGAGGAAGCGCAACAGAAATTCATGGAAATTCAAGAAGCTTATGAAATTCTCTCTAATATCAAAACCCGGAGGGCCTCTAGGAACACAAGGACAAGAAGCGATTTCGGTGGACACGATCGCTCAGAATTTTAACACAAGATAGTTTGATAGATTGAAAGAGTAAATATTTTATATAGCAATTATAGTTTTTGACATGTGGACGTCTTTGTAACAGGTGGTTGAAATAACTGGTTATTTAACTGTTGTGTAAACTGTGATTTGCATCCCACCTGTGAATTAAACATTTTTTTTAGTTTGCTTGTGGGTGATTCAGAAGTGTCTTGAATTCAAATTTCTACAACTGTTCTTTCTCTGTCAACTTTGCTGTTTTTACTAGGGGGTAGGGGGGAATTCACTGTAATGGCCTATACAAGGTAATGTCAGAAAGTTTTGAAGTAGACAGCTGAGTTGTCAAAGTAAGCGGCCAGTCCAGGGATATTTTATTTAAAAAATGCCATCTGTAAAGAAATGCCAAGCAGAGTAGCCTACCATTACTAACTGAGTACATGTAGGTGGCGATTTTCGGCAGCAGCCAGCTACTTTTGACAACCCTGCACCTAAAGGGTAACTTTTTCAGGTTTCGGGTGTATGTTTTGTGAAGAGAGTGTATTTTACGTATACAGCAGAGAGTTGCAAAGTTCTTAACTACAATCTGTGACATTAGCACTTGGGTCAATTGAAGGAATATCCTTGAAATGTTGTGCTCAACCTCCTTTTCCCTGTCCCTTTCAATGTTGGCCTCGAACTTGGACAATTCCACGGAAAAAACCATTACAAAACTGCATTGGAAGAGAGAAAGACAGGTATCAGAGCAGTGTGACCCAAGTTGATTGTCCTTGATTGTAGGTATGTGAACGGGGTACCATTTTGCCAGTAGAAGGTATACAAGAAGGGGAACCTTTTCTGTCAAAAATCGTGTATAAAAGGGTAAGGGGATTGGACCTGAGGGGAGCCTCCCCATATAGAACATTATTGAGTAATGCCCCCCCCCCTCCCCTCCAGCATTTTAGGGTTGTCATGCAAATGCTTCACCTCAAAGAGGGAGTAGTGTTGTGTGAGGACATTAACCCCTTAAGTGTCAATAGTGACCAACAACAATTTTCTCTTAACAACATCCATACACAGTCAACGGATTAAGTGATGAGAATTAATAAAATGATCACCATAGAGAAAATTCCATGATCCTTTATCAAATTCTCTCAACTAATTCTCAAAGAAAATGTATGGAGATCAGTTTGGAGAATTTGTATGTGGATATTGGGGCTTAAAAAGCACTGTGGGGGAGACTAACTGTATTAAGCTTTCAGCTGTTATAATGTGCATCCACGATCCTCTACATAATTGAAAAGTAGCCTGTGGCTCATTTATCTATAACTTAAGCTAGTAATTTTCTATTTAATAATCTCCATTGTTTGATTGTCGAATAAATGGCCTCAGTTTCTTTGTTTGTCATATATCTCTGACCCCTATGACATGGTAGGCAAATTTCTGATAGTGCCCTTGAGACACCTCATGGTCCAGCGATGGGTGTTGATTATACCACTGCAGGACTGTAACTAAGGGCAAACTGCCATGGATTTTCCTAGTAAGAAGTTTGAACCCCTCAGCCAATTTGTTTGAAGCCTGATTAGTTTTAAACCTAGGTTAATATTGTAAACTGATACGAATCTTGTGGTTGACTAACCCTCATGTTCAGTGCTAGTCAATCTTCAAACAACATGGCCTTGATCATACATGTACTTGAGTAGGAAAAAGAACACATGGACTGCGCAAGCAATGTTTAAATCCCTGCCAGGATATTTATTAATTTCAACTAAACTCATGATAAAGTTTGCAAAACAATAATACCAAATGGCTTTTTGAACTTAGATTGGTCTGTTTCATAATCATACAGGGGTCCTCCCCACCTCCCCCAGGGCAGTGTTACAGTTTCTTTTAAAATTAACACCTTCATAAACATTCAGCCTGACAAGCTGACTTTGAAAAACTTCAAGCATCGATGACCAGAAAGCAAACTTTGTAGAGGTTTCAAGCTTAGTCATGTTATATCACTAATGTTAATACAGTACCAAGTCCAACATTACCATGAAACTGTTCTTGTACAGCATACAACCCAACATGTTCCTTTAAAGCACCTAAAAGATGAGCTGACAGGACAGCAACCATGTTGTGATACAACTTGCAACAGAGTCTCTAACACTGTAGCCTTTTCCAGGCTTTCAAATAGCAGGTATGATGCATAAGTCAAAGGCATGTGAAAATATAAGTGCATGATCTGGGGAAAAGGTGGAGATTATCAGATAGTGCGCTTTCTCAATTTCGTGAACCCAACTACCTTGGAGCCTGGAACAGGCTACCAACATCAGTGCACTCCCGTTACCCATTTACAACAATCTCACAAGCTGTTTTGAAGCAATTGCAAAGTGGAAGCCTGGACAGATTCCATGTTCTAATTCTTTTTTTTTTTTTCAGCATGGCCATAGTACTGGTATTTCAAACAAAAACATTCAGTCTGATGAGTTGCTTTGAAGCAAATGCAAAATGAGTGCCTGGATTACATATTACACTATTTCTGACTGTATCGCTTCTAGCTTGGCTACAAGTTTGCATCATCAACATACAGTCTAACGAGCACTTGACAGATGAGTAATACAATACCAACCATGTTATAACGCTATCAAAGCTGTCTTCAATATGGCAACAATGCTGTTCCCTTTTAGTTTGTGTCGTCAACCTACAGTCTAAAAAGTTGCTTTGAAGCCCTTAGCAGATGAGTAAAAGGACATTAACCAAGTTATAATGCCACCCGTTCTGTCTCCAATATGGCAACAATACTGTTTCCTTTAAGTTTGTGTCACCAACATACATTTCAACAAGTTGCTTTGAAGCACTTGGCAGATAAGTGGCACAATACTAACCATGCTATAATGCTGTCTCCAACATGGCAACAATACTGCTCCATACTAGTTTGTGTCATTAACCTACAGACTAACAAGTTGCCTTTATGCCCAGTGCAAACAGAACACTAATCATGTTAAAATACTACCAACGCTGTTTCCAACATGGCAACAATACTGTTCCCTTCTAGTTTGTGTCATCAACATACAGTCTAACAAGTTGCTTTGAAGCACTTGGCATATAAGTGACACAATACTAACCATGCTACAATGCTGTCTCCAACACGGCAACAATACTGCTCCCTACTAGTTTGTGTCATCAACCTACAGACTAACAAGTTGCCTTTATGCCCAGTGCAAACAGAACACTAATCATGTTAAAATACTACCAACGCTGTCTCCAACATGGCAACAATACTGTTCCCTTCTAGTTTGTGTCATCAACATACAGTCTAACAAGTTGCTTTGAAGCACTTGGCAGATGAGTGACTGGACAGCAACCATGTTGGTTTAAGTACTTATAGATACAAGGATAGCAGAAGACATAACCAGATGATGACAGTGCTGTTGGGTTGGTGCAAACTTTCTTGCAAAGGGGACACTGGGCAGGATGTGGTGGAAGCTTTACGCCATGTTGGGCAGGCTGAAAAAAGACAAAAATCACCTTAAGCGAACTAAATACCTCTTCAAAGAGAGTTAATATTAGGGATGCAGCCTATGGAATGTGAAGCACTTGCACTCCCCGACCTCCACTCCAGGGTGGACAATAATTATTAACCCTCCCCACCGACCCCCTCAACTTGATAAAGAAAGACAATAAGAAGTAAAGCTATCATCTAAGTAAACAAACAGATGGCAAAGGTTTGAGAACTTCAACATCAAGCCATTCATTTTGGCATAAATGCTGTTTGTAGATATTCTGTATACTTCCTCCATCCTTCTTTGTCTTACAATGCTTCTCTCAACCCCTTGATCATCTTAAGTTTAGGGTGCATTACATTATTTTGATAGTTGATGCAGTTTCCTTTTCCCTGTTGCTGCATCTCAGCCTAGGGGTATACAATGGTAAATTCAAGACCAAGACTTAAGCATTTTTATCAGTTCTACACCTGAGACTTTACTTCTAAAAATTCCAAGACTGAGACACTAAGTGCTTAAAATTTCGAGTGGCACAAATAAAGCTATATAAAATGACTCAAAATGCTGAAATGGAAGCTAGCACAGTGGAAGCCTACCATGAATATACTGCTTTGTCTTGTTTTACTGCCTTTCAAAAACAACTAGCTCAGTTCGATAAGCTGTGCCCATGAATTCTGAAAAATTCGACTAACAGAAAGAAAAAAAACGACAAATCTGAAACTCTGAGACCCGTTGGCAAAAAATGCAAGATACCAAGATGCAAAACTCACTCAAAATTGACACTTGCTTCTGAGGTTTCGAGATCACACCAAAATTTTCCAATACTCAAGTTTTTCAAGATACCATTCTATACCCTTCAGCCTCAGGAAAAATTCCACTCAGAATATCTCCTGGGACTTGTTTATAACCATTTTGGGAGACCTGCAAAACAATCCCACGAGAGAGGTGGTACTTCCATATGTGGCCTTCCGTATGTCTGTGTCACCCAACATGATATGCTTTTTGCCTCTCTGACTCTGGAACAGGGTATAAAACTCAACCTTCATCTCTGGAAGATGACTGTATTTTACTTCATTTTCACTGACTGGAAAAGAGGGTCAGATTTTTTTCCTTGAGAACCCCCTATTATTCTCGATCAAGCTTAAATACATTCCACTGCCCAAAGAACAAACAACTTCTTGACAACAATGTTGTGTGCATTTTTGTTTTTGCTAATTGACTGAAACAGTGGTGCAAATTCCTCTCTTTTTGCCTGGAACAGGTCCAGAGTGTTAAAGACTCAGCGACACTCCCCTGTAGTTAAGTTATGAGAGTACCCCCCCCCCCGGGTTAAACAACAATAACAACAGGGCTCGAAATTAAAAAAAATGTCTGGTCGCAAATTTGCGACTAGTTGCGAAAATTTGGTCGCAACTTTGAAAATGTTAGTCGCGAAATTAATTGAGGTCATTTAATCAAGAAATAAGTAGGCTTTTAAATGATTAACGCTTTAATTTTCATTCTTTCAACAGCTTTCATGTCATTTCGAGACTTAAAAGTACAGAACGTTTAGCATCTCGGACAACACCAGTTCATCTAAACGATCAAGTTGAACCAGCGTTAAGGCACATAAATTAGTGTCTGTTATTTTAGTCAAAACGATAGATTTCCAAATCATGAACAGATATTACAGCAGGAAACTGCAGTTCTTAAATGCCTCCAATCTCTGCAAAATGGCAATAACATTTGTACTGGGCGGACATCCCACATGGTTATAGGTTACGTTACGTAACTAAATTCCTTTAGTTTTACCTTTTGCAGGTTTTCCACCGATGACAAAACAAGTAACGAATTCTTTTATATATTAAGCTTTCGCCATCTTTGTTTGCTAAACCTCGTTTTCATGTATACGTAGATTCGCAACCCACTTGGAACCGATTTATTTTACATGTAAATCTTTTTTTTAAAACTAACCGTTACTGTCAAACGAAGAAACAATGAAGCCTTAAGTACTCATTTTTTACCAACGAAAGTTAGTGACTCCAGTTTTTCTGCTTGTTTCTGTTCCTTCGATCTTGCTCAGTGACTAACGACTGTCAGCGGCAAATCAAAACGAAATATGAGCCTGCAATGTGCATGTTTGACATGTTTACAGACCCACTGAAAATGGGGTGCTGTTAAGGAATATCGTTGCGTGTATGCATTCCAGGTAAATTACGGTAAACCTTCAGATTGTAACAAAATTATAAGACGCTACTTCAATGAATCTTTTTATTTCTAAATTTATTTAAGCAAAAATTCAAGTGCTAGTCCTTTTATTTCGTATCAGTTAAGGTAAAACCTAGTCGCAAATTTGCGACTACTCTCGTTTTTCTAGTCGCAAGTAAGAAAAATTAAGTCGCAAATGCGACCGTATCGGTCGCAATTTCGAGCCCTGAACAAGTAGAACCATAGTAATAGTAGTTAGTAGAGGAGACTGGTTAGGAAAGCCGTGAAACATCATAGTTGAAAACAATGGTGCTGTAGGATATATTGGAAGCTCCTTGACCGTGCACAATCCTTTGTTTTTTGTTAACAATTTGTGACTGAATAAATGAATGCAATGCTTCTATTGGTCAGTAAATTCAAAACGATAGGAATGCTATTGAACATTGTGCACGGTTAGGTCCAAAAATCTAACAAAACCTTATAACAAAGGCAGGGCTGTCAACCCCCCACGTCCTAAAACATTGAGAATTCATAGGGGCATCATATCACATGGTACATGAAGTCATTTGTGCAAAAAATAGTAGTTGACCCGATCATCATGAATTTGCAATGTTAGAGCGGTTTTCACTTGACTGTCGTAAAACCAAAACCAAAGTAAATACACTAGCCAACCAAAGGGCGTAGTAAAACCAAAACCAAAACCAAAACCGCTCTATTGCGTACATTGCAATGGCAAAATATACCATACAGAAGTTTACAAGGAAACGTTTGATGTTAACAGTAAAATAGCTCAAACAACCCAAAATATTTAAAAGTTTATTGTCGGACAGTTGAGTGTACAACTTAATGTCCAGGAGATTTCATACTCTAATCTGGAGACCGCGGGATACGGTCCAAAAACTGGAGTGTCCTGGATTATCCGGGAGAGTTGACAGCACTGCAAAGGGTTTCCCAACCACTCCAATAATATTTAACTAACTATGATAGAACTAACAAAAATAGTACTTTACCTTAGGTTGAGGAGGTGGGGGTGGAATTGGTAATTGTGTAACAGCTTGAACTGCTCCCTTGTTCTCACTTGAATACCACCAGTCTATAAACTTCAAAAAGAATACAATGACTGGGAGACCATTAGCTAAAACTGATGCCAGCAAATGTGCTAGTGATCTTGGAATGGCTGATATTCTTTCAGTTAATGTCTTTCCACTGAATACGCCAGTATTGACATTCTGCATGCTGTGTGCAAGCATATCTTGTCTTGTAAGCCTTTGAAGTGAGACTCCAATGACGTGCAGTAGAGGAGAATGAACATTACAAAACTTGAAAATGTACAACAGATAATAAGACAGTATCGCTGTTTCCCCAGTAAAATGTAACCAGGGATAAACATAGATAAATACTCTCTTCAGCTGAAGGAAATATGAGCGTTTTCTGGAAGAGTAGGAGGCTAGATATCCGGTCACATTTTCTTCCCTTATTCGTTCGAAAAGTTGATCAAGTTTGAGTTTTGCATAAGGAACCGCAACAAGCATTATTAACGACAAGTATCTGTGATAATTTGAAATCCCTCCACTGCTCTCTCCATTTTCAACGTTGAACACTCTTTTAAGACCATAAAAGTGTTCCGAGATTGACCCTCCGAAGTTTTTCAGGTAGTGATTCTGGACAATGTAATCTAAAATGACGTACAACTCGTCGCCTACACGCCATAACCAGCCCCATCTGTCGGGATTTGAGGTTGCTAAAACTTTCAAGCCATAAGAAACAGCAGGTCTAAGGACTGTCGCCATAGATTCTTGGGCGACTATCTCAAATATCGTAGGGTTTGCATTTGCCGTTCCTTGGTTTAAATGTGCTGCAAATTCCGCCATCTTGAAAGTTGGAAAGTGCTGAGTAGCCAGGCTAATCATATATGAGGTACCTACCGTTAGTAGAAGCAAAACCGCTGCCCAAAGCAACCAAAAAATGTTCCACATTTTGTTTACAAAAGAAAATTCGTTTTAGTAATGTCGAAAATATGGATAGAAAACCAGGGCATTTGACAAAATCAGTGCAGGAGATCGCTGGATCTTTATTCTGGATAAAGGTAGTGCTTTATTTTACAGGGAAAGGACAACATGTTTCTATTTCAAAAGTAGTCGAAACATTCATTTTTTACAGTTCTCAGCATGTGAGTATACTGTATTAACTCAGAGTCTGTAAAATAATTTGTATTGCACCAGGTTGTTGGCATAGGAAATGATGGCGTAGGGAAGACTTGTCTTGTGAAGAACTTCTGTGAAAAAAAGGTGCAAAAATGAACTATTTAACTCTAACTTAACCTGCGATCAGACTCCCGAAGGGGCTTTACACAGTTGGCAATAAACAAGCGTCAAGAAAAACCACAATTTCAGTTTATTATCATACTTTAAAACAAAATATCATTGATTATTTAATACTGGGAAGCAAAATATTATTATTTTAATTTTATTCCTTGAAGAAGATTTTATTTGAACACAAAATCAATTGAATGCATTATTCTAATGGCAGTGAAGTTAATTCTGATCATTGTATCTTTCCTTCTTAGTTTTCTAAAAGCTACCACCCAACAGTGGGAGTCGATTATGGTAGGTCTATAGACAGTGCTTAACCCTTTAAGCCCCAGTATCCACATACAAATTCTCCAAACTAATCTCTATACATTTCCTTAAAGAATAAGTTAAGAGAATTTGATAATAGATCAAGGCATTTTCTCTTGTGTGATCATTTTATTAATTCTCATAACTTATCTCTTGACAGTGTATGGAGGTTGTTTGGAGAAATTTGATCTTGGTCACTATTGGGACTTAAAGGGTTAATCCCCATATGTGATAATCGATAATGATGACGATGACGATGATGATGATGTCACAATGATGTGATATGGTGATAATGATGATGATTTGATGGTGATATTCAGCAATGATGATCAAGCTTGATGATAAGATGCTGATGCCGAGGCTAATTATCATGAGGACAGTGATGATGATGACGAGATAATAAATGATGTGATGTGGGATAATTTGTTATACAGTCGAATCCCGATAACTCGAACCCTCTATAACTTGAACCTCCCGCTAAATCAAAGCAATTTACATTTCCCTTCAGACCGTTTTCTATATAATTTTACCCTCGATAACTCAAACTCCTGGTAACTCGAACTATTTTCTCTTTCCCTTGAAGGTTCAAATTATCGGAAGTCGACTGTAATTTCAAATCTAATACTAACGATGATGTAATGGTGTTGAGGTGGTAGTGATGATGTTGTCATAAAATTATGATGTTGATGATGATTTAGGTATGTTTACATCTGAGGACTTCCTCAAAAGAGAACACTTTAGAGGGGCATGCATATTCAACATCTTGGTTAATTTTTTTTCTTAGCTTGGAAACTAAAATTAACCATAATATATTTTTGAGACCACTAACATCATGAAATAAATTTCATTCTTGTTTGCTATTTGTACTTTCAGGATTCAAGCTGCACAAAATTAATGGCGTTGACTGTGAGTTTGCTCATTGCACGCAAAATCAAACTCAGTAGATTTTAAAAGAAAAGAAGTGGTTTGAACCACTTGTCAGCATTAATACTAAGTATTCTAAGTGTCAGCATTAAGTAACCTTATAAACCTCTGAAAAGACATGGTACCTATCACTTCTGTAATCATTCTAGGAAAGATCTATATCATTATTCCCAACAAAAATAATGTTTTGCTTTCATTCCCTGATCCCCCACCTCAGGAAATTCCAGTTTAGCCCAATCATATTCTTGGTTTGTAACCATGTCAACTAAAATGGCTGCCAATATGATGTTTACAAGCTGACAACCTGAAATTCTGTACTTTTATTAGAGACTGGCCTGCATCCCCTTTGATTAGGGAATTTTTGGAAAAAGTGATGAACAGCTTAACTGTGACAAAAAAGGCTGGTATTATTAGAAGTAAACACGGATGGCAGTGATAAAGATGTGCTTTTTTCCCTCACAGATAGGATCAATTTCTGGGATTTTGGCGGTCATGCAGATTATGATGAAATAAGAGTTGAACTTTATGGGCAGACACAGGTTAGAGTTAAGCTGATGAGTAGTAAAAAAATCTACACAATAGTTACCTGACTGTATACCCACAAGTTTTCATTAAGTTTCCCTTTTTCAGACCAAATGCCAAAATTCAGCACTGTTCCAAGTCGTCCTTGGCAATTTTCAGATGTGACATCACCTGTCAAGCTTGTCAGAGAATTTATCATGCTCAGTTCTTAACCCCTTTTGCTCACTCAAATAGCGTGAACTGGCCTCAGCGGACGAGGCTAGCCACATTCTTAGTCACATGTTTAATAATTATTGGAGTATGAATGCAAATAATGATTTCAAAGTGCACCCTGATTATTAGTGAAGTTTAATAAATTTGTTGTTGACTGTGTACTTACAGGCTTGTATTCTGGTGTTTGATGTTACAAACAAGTTATCATTTGATTCTCTGGAGTACTGGCTGCAAGAGTTTACCAGTAATGGTGGAAAACAAGCTGTTATCGCTGTGGTAGCTAATAAGGTCGCTCTTGTCCAACTGACTTACAGGCATTAAAAGTTCAAACTATAAAACCCCTCCATTCCCAACAAGTTCCAAATTCTGCCCGATAAGCTCAATTGAATAAGCGCCAGTCTACCAAGCCATTGGTTCCAACCCCGGTCGGACCGACACACAGGGTCTTTAAATAACTGAGGGGAAAGTGTTGCCTTTGTAAAGACATCTGAAAACAGTTAGACTTTCTAGTCTTCTCAGATAAGGACGATAAACCATAGCTCCCATCTCAAAACCCTTGCAAATTTAAACAATTCTGCAGGATGTTAAAGAACCTACACACTGTTTGTAAAGAGTAGGGGACCTGGTCCCGGTGTGGTGGTCTATCTCTCATGGAGGAGGGGGAGGGACTGTTACGGGCTCACATAGTGGCATGTCGCGCTATTGCAGAGACCCTGCCAATAATTGGCAAACCTAAGTAAAAATAAAATCAATAAATAAGGCAAATGGCATTGAACTTAGTAGAAACTAAAAGTACTTTTTGAGATGTTTCATTTGAGTCGTAATGCCAGACTTTACTTCATTCAGAGACTCATCACATTTTTTATGTTAGTACTACCTTCATGTCTTTGAGAACATCAAGTAATCTCAGAATTGCTGCAGATGGATTATGCATCTCTAGTAATATAAAGAAGTTGGGTGCTGCTTTATCAAGCCCTCATACAGTTTCTTGGACCTCCCAATAATTCATGTCAAAATTAAAACTGACTGTCCTTCCCAAGCCAAACAATGAAAATATCCCCACAACCACCCCAGTTTGTTAAAAAAAATTAATTCAAAACAGTTCAAACCCATTTGGCTCACCACAGGAGGCTTGAGAAGTGTGAATTCCATATTTGTACAAAAATGGCCATGGTGCTCATCAGCTACCTTGAAATATTCTCATTTTGATCATACTTTCATTCCCATTACAGACTGATTTAAACTCCAAACGAGCTGTAAGCAGCAAGGATGGACAGAGATGGGCAAAAGCCCATGACCTAAGGTCTGTAAACCTTCATTGTTTTTTTCTGAATTCTAATTAGCAAAGGTTGTTTAAATAAAAATACAAAAACAAGTAAAAAGTAGCCTAGGTAAAACTGAATGACGTTTGACTAGAAATTGGTGTCATGATGACACCAAAATGTTGTTAAGTTTAATCGGCCAGGGTTGTCACTAAGATTTCAAGTTGCCGGGTAAATACAACAAGTAGGCGGGGAATCAAATGGCTAGGGATTTCTTTTGGTTCTATTTTTCTTCTATTTTTCAATAAAAGTAGCCGGGGGCCACTCAATTTGTAGCCGGGGAAAATCCCCGGCCCCCGGCTCTTAATGACAACCCTGTCGGCAATTACTTTTAACTTGTGTTTCTGAATTGTTGGTCTTTATACCACTGAGCTCTTGAAACATTTTAACTTTGCTAGTTTTGAGACAATTCTTTTTATATCATGCAGATACTATGAGACATCAGCAGCTACTGGACAAGGTGTTCATGAGATGTTTAGTGGAGTGCTCTCGGCGGTGGTGGAAGCCAAGCTTGTAAAAGCCAAACCTGTCATCAGCACAGATCAAAGTAAACAGAGATGAACCCAAAGGAAATTGATATTATTTTCTTAATAGATTGTAAATCTTGTATTTAGGGATAATTTGTTTAAGCATTCTTGGCAACCAGCAGTTGGTCAGGGAATTAGGACCTTATTATAATTACGATCCAAGGACGGTAATGGCAGCTCAATGTCACCTAACAAGAGAATTAATGCATTTTTTCACTCCTCATCACAACTAACTCAGTGACTTTGTCAAATATAGGTAAACTCTCCTGAAGTGAATTCTTAAAAACCACATCCAAGTTCAGAAAGAGAAAGCTAAAAAAAAGTTTCACTTCTTCTGACGTCCTCAAAACATGAAATAAGGCATTTTCACTTCATATTCATATCACAGTGATGAGAACAAAGTGTGATGCACATGCAAAGTTGTTGTTTTGCTCATGAAACTTATTGCTTTCTTGACATTCTCATTACTGTTGTTGCATCTTAAGTCCCCTAAAGTCACCCACAATGGCAGAATTTTAACTTTAAGGAGGGGCAGGCAATTCATCTGCAAGGAATGACATTGTTTTTTTTAATAATTACTGTATATAATAAAGTAACTATTATTATAAATTGATTTAGTTTTGCAGAGTAGTAACAATCATACAGGCCTTATTTGGTTAATATTATTGTAGGTCACAATGATATACTTAGTGTTGAAGAAAAGCCCGTTTTTCTGAGGTAGATGTACATGTAGGTCACTGTGATAATTTATCGGAGTAAAATAATTAATGATACATGCATATTTCTATCATACAACGATTTTTATTATTGCCTTCTAGATTCAAACATTTAAAAAATGAACAAAATGTAACTATAATGAAAATGCCTCTGACATTGTACTGTTTTTATTTATTGCTGTGTAGAAATCTATTTACATCAAAAATTATTTTGAAAATAAATTAATATTATACCACAATCTACATGTAGGCATGTTTTGTTCCTTTAAAGGGGTTAATGCAAGGCATCCATTGTGTGATTTTGTGCAAAAAACTAATTATTAAGAGTATAGAGGGAGATATTTCTTGCAAAACGTATTAAGAAGCAAAAACAAATCCTGCTGACAAAAATCCTCCACTTCCCATTCCAAAATAGTGGTCTATAATGTTAACTCCATAATTATAGGGCCTCCAAGTTCTCGCAGCAGGCATACTAGTGCACTTATTCGTTTTTGCTGACTTTTCTTTCCTAGAAAAACTTCAGGGAATGATGTGGCCTTAAAGATTTAAGTTCACCCTTGAATGCAAAATTTTTGGACTATCTCATATCTATTACAGGTTACTTTTTCTGCTCAACTAACTTGGTCTTTCGCCCAAGCTTGACAAAAAAATATAAAAGTTATAGAGTTCTAAAGTGTGACGTCATAAAAAATCAAATTTGTGAAATTATGGGAGTTGTCGGGATATTCTGAAAGAACAACATCCAAGAAGCCTACTTGCCAAAAACTTTAGAAGGATTTGTCTGGAGTCATCAGAGCATAACTGTGCTAATATCTCAGAGACAATTTGCCCCAAAATGCTAATTTTTGGTAAGTAGGCATCTTGGACATTCTTCTTTCAGAATACCTTGACAAATCCCATAATTTTGCAAATAAAATTTTTATGATGTCATCACTTTGAAACTCAGTTACAGTTGAGCAGAACTGTAAAGAGTTCACGCCAACTTTAGGGGTTCTTGACCTGGACCTAGAGAAACGAATGAAAATCAATATTACATTGCCGATATATTAACTGCTGTTCCATTCCGCAGTCTTGATAATTATTGTGTCTAATATGGGCATAAAAGTCTGGAGAATGGTTATATAACCTGTGCCAAAGATGGAACTAAACGCCTGGTTAAGTTCTTCTGTGTAAAAGCAACGATATCCTTGTTCCAGGATTTGAGTATTTGCCATGATTGGCCCTTTAAAAAAGCCACTGTCAATTTGCTCACCATGCTGGTTTTTTACCATGCTGGATAATCATTATTGCACATACATGACTGGAGAGATAATCATATTTCACCTAAAATAAATCTTGTGTGCTTCTGAGAAAATGTGGTAAAAACAGTACATGTACCTGCGTTAAGATGAGGACAGTTCATCATCATCTCTGTGCTTCTTCTTTCTCTTTTTAATCTTTGGTTCTTCTGCATCTCTGTCAGCCTCAGTACGTTTTCGCTTCTTTCTCTTTTTGCTCTTTCTTCTTTTCTATAATGAAATGGTGTAGAGCAGTTAGAGAAGATGTTAAAGGATCAAGAGATCAGATGATCAAGGCCTGGTTCTTGAAAGGCCGACTTAGTGCTAATCCAGGATTAAAATTTTAATCCATGTTATTGTTTACCTTCCTATAGATAGCTTAAAATATATAGATTAAAAGTTTGCATTACCATGACTAGATCACAGAGTGAAGGAACAGCAACACCCAATAAGCTACAATGACATAATTATTCCGCACAACAAAACTTTGCATAAAATTTTGCTTAAACCTGGGTTAAACTTGAGCATCTTTCAAGGAAGCACACCTATGTCCTTTAAATTTCTGATTTATTACAAAATTATATTATTGACATTACTAGAAGAGACTACTAAAGAATTATATATTTCTGTTGATAACTGCATAGCTGAATGGGAAATTATTAATAAGCAAATTCAAACATTGGATTTCCAGCGGAATATTGAAGGTACACAAGAAAAGCGAGTAAATCAAAAGCTAAAGTCAATACATAAATACAGAACCCCAATAACTCAAACTCAGATAACTTGAACTCCCCGCTAACTTGAACTAAGTCCAACTTCCCCTGGATTTCACCCGACTTTTCAGTCATTTTTACTCGGATAACTCCAATTCTGGTTCTTGGAACTCCACTCAGATGCCATCCCATTAGCTTTTCTTTTTGTCTAATTGGTAAAAACTTGAACTTGAACACTGGTCAACACTACAGCAATTTGATTTGACTTGGTGCAACGAACAGGTCACATTAATTTTTATCATTAAAAAGCCTACCGGTAATCATGTTACTGTTGCGTTTCTGATGGAATAAGTTAAATTTGCACTGCACTATACACTGAAGAGCTGAAAAATCACTAAACTAACAATTTTTAATATGGCCCTGTTGGTATTCATCCCATCTTTATGTCTTTAGTTTCCATTTCCTTTACAGTAGCAGGGCTCGAAATTAAAAAAATCCTCAGGTCACCTTTTCGCGACCAACTGGAAAAATATAGTCGCCAGATGTAAATTTTTAGTTGCCAGTTTGTATAATGTAAAAGATGCAGCTTATAGTATGGCACGATCCTTCAGATTTGATTGTTTGAAAATATCACGGACAGAGGTTGGTATAAATTTGGAGGTACACGCAAACTGGCTTTGTTTATGTGATTTGGCACATTTCTATGACAAAAGCAAAGCAAGAAAAGATGAAATGTTTGTTTTAACTTTACTCTTTTAATTTAAATCTAAATCATAGAGAAATCTGGTTGCCAAAGTGGCGACTAAACCAGAATTTTTAGTCGCATTGACGACTGTATCAGTCACAATTTTGAGCCCTGAGTAGTCTTATCACACTGTTTCAAGGCCAAGTGGTCACTTGTCGCAATTTTATCCTAACAAGCCAGTTTGGTCAAGTGCCTACCTTCTTTTCTTCTTCTGATTCACTGTTATCAGAAGTTGATGTTGACGATGGCGATGAAGAACGGCGCTTGAAAGAAAACAAGCAGAACCTCCTAATTAGCTCACTAGTAATTCGTGCCATTTCCTCAGAAAAATTTTTAATGACATAAAAAATAAACAGAAAAGAAAAATATTTGACCTGTTTTTCCAAAGCTGTCTTTTGTCTAATATTATTATAGTATACATCTCTTCCATATAAGTACTGTAAAATTCCAAAAATAAGCCCCAGGGCTTATATTTTTCAAAGGCCCTTTTTGAGGGGCTTATATTCAGAGGGGCTTATATTCGAAGGGGCTTATGTACGGAGGGAAATTTGCATTTCAAAATCAATTAAGCTAACCTTATTCTTGGAAGGAAATTACCGTTTTTCTTTGTTTTACTTTGTATTTGAGGGCATTTCCAAGTACAAGCCCCCCGGTGGGCTTATATTTGGAGGGGCGATTTAACAGAGGGGTTTTTGTGTTACGAGTTTGGGGGACTTATATTAAAATTTTGGAGGGGCTTATACATGGAGGGGCTTATTTTCGGAATTTTACGGTACTTACAATAACGTGAGTCATGATGATGGTTACAAAATACATTTTTGCCCTTCTTTTACTGTCCGCAAAAAAATTCAAGATATATAAAGAAACAAAAATTTTACTTTTTTTTCATGTAATGCAATTTGATGCATTTTATAAAACTAATATAATATTTATTATACAGTCAGGAACAATAACTCACCCTTTTTTTTCGGTGCTTACTAGATTTCTTTTTCTAAAAAAATGTAAAAATACAATAGGTTATGCTTAAAACATAATCATCAAGAAAACACATAAAAATGGTCTGAAACACGGTGGAATTTCATACAGCTGTAGTTAGAACATTCATTCGGAACATATAATTGAAACAAGAGGAGTATGTGGAAACCTGTGACAGCTAAATTAAAAAAATATGTACCTCTTTTTTCTTTGTTTTTGATGAGCTTTCTGCATCACCCAGTATCTTCTCTCTGTTTTTCTTTAATTCATTTTTAAATTTCTGTGGAGTAATAATAAACAACAGGCTGTAAAAACAGCTTACATGAAATTGTTTCAAGTCCTTACTAAACTAACAGGTCATCTCAACCTTCATAGGAATTGCCATTGTTTAGACAAACTAACAAATAGTCCATTTTTGAGTTCGCTATGACTGCTGGATTAAAGTGAAGACGCATTTTTTACAGCCTTAGCCTCCATCTGAAGTAATATATTCACAAATTCCAACGAGAAAAATACCTGTTTATCTCTCTGTCTATTGTGTATATTCAAACTTCGAACACTTACTTGTCAGAATATCTGAATAGTTTACTTTTTGTCGAGGCTAGCCCTGTATGAATGTGTCGTTAATGTTTGTATTCAGCGGTAATTTTTAATTCGAAACTGGACTATTATAGATCTATTTTACTGTTCAAATTTGCACTGTAAATATTGTCTTTGTACAGTTGAAGACATCTACAAATAATTTTCTTGTCCCAAAAACTGGGTTTGAAAATTAACAAAATTATTTGAAATTTTGAGATGTCATATGAATATCAGCATTGGGTGCATTATCCTTGCACAAAAAAGGCAAATTTCTCACAGTGTGAAGAAACCTGCCTACTACTTTTTGATAGTACTCTTGGCCTGTACAATACTAGAATATTCATAGGACTGGTTTATTGAAAACAGATGCACAGCTTGAAAACAGTTTCATCCAACTGACAAAAAAAAATTTTACTTCGGAGAAAGTAAGTTCTAAGGCTCCCTTGTCCATACAACGAGCAAGGGGCCTGGAAAGTCATCCACATACACACAAAAAGTGTTCAAGAAAATAGGCAACTGCTCTGGATGAGGAAAATTTAAGAGCTGCTTGCCAGATGGATAAGGTGAAACAAGTTTTTTTCAAGCCCAGTAGCCACTAAAAGCCTGTCCGAAAAAAAAAAAAAACAGCCAACATTTTGCAAAGCCACCAACAGTTTCCCCATGAAATGATGTCTGAGGAACAAGCACAGAAATTCCATCCCCAGACATCATTTGGCAGGGGAACTGATGAAAGTGTCGCAAAATGTTGCTTGTTTTCCCAGGTTACTGAAAGTCACCTCGTTTAAATGCTCTTCAAATGCAGCCAATGTCTCTGATCCTGTCTTCCTTTTATTCATCATTTCTTTAACCTCCTCCCTGACAAAAAGAGTAAAAATAGAAAAAAAATGTTGAGTGCAAGCAGTCCCAGTCAAGGCTGGGTAGCAGACACAGCAAACATACTTGTAGCCTGAGAAAAAACCTGACACAGCTTTCCCCATGAAATGATGTCTGAGGAAGGAACCCGGAAATTCCATATATTGATGATGTGTCACTACTAAGATCTGGGTAATGCTTCTGATTGGTTAAAACAAATTTTCCTCACAGCATGACCAATTTGTAAAAGCACTACCCAGATCTAGGTGGTATGAAACAGCCAATAAAAACAAGTATTCATCAAATTAATGTTTGAAAGAGAGATAACAATAACTGGCATTGCCGCATTGTCACACAGCTGGACATTTTTTCTTGATTAGCACTTAATCCGGGGTTTAAATTTAACCCAGGTTTCTTTTTCTTGTGTTAGAAAGCATTTTCTCACATAATTTTCTCTGTTATTTTTAGAGCTTCCAATCATAAACTTGTAGACAAAAGGAATTAAAACTGAAATGTTTTATAAGCTTTCATATCTGAATTCAAATCTCGCACTAACCCAGGGTTATCTTAAACCAGCTTTGAACAACTCAGCCCAGATAACAATAACCAGCTGTTATGTTGGTTAGAGGATATGTATATTCTTAATGACTGCTTCTAAATCATTCATTCTATGCTTGTAGACGTTCAAAACTACACAGCAAAGGTACTATTACTCACAGTGTTGGCCTATTTCTGTTGAGATAATCTCTTATCGTTGGTCCTGAAGACGGTGGCGGTCCTCTTGCCCTCGCCATTGCAACAGGGTTTACATGCGCCTGAGAAGTAAAATAAAAGAAGTCAAGAAGCTTTGTAGGTGGTTTCTATGAGAAATATTCACAATTTGGGTGGGATTAACGGTTTGCTTTATACTCTCTATTGAATGATTACATTTTTTAAAACAATTCTTACCACCCGGTTGTCCCTTTTCCCCATATTTCTGGACAATTTTATCGCGCTAATCTGCACTGCACTCAGTCAAGAATATATTTTGATGGCGTCTGAATTTCATAGTACACTACATGAGGAGTTATTTGATACTGCAATGAGCCGCTGGACATTCAACATCCTCGTTTCCAGGGTTGCGCAGGAAAAGTGCTTATAGTTGCTTCTGAAACCACAGGGACACCCAACGGCAATTTTCGGGAAAATATCTGTTCGGAAGACGATTTGAGAACTAGAATTTTCGGAACATTTGTTGTAAAATTTCTTGCTTGCCTGCCTCTCCTAGGATTTTCGAACATCTACAAAATGGTATAATTACCCATTTTAAACGGATATTTACCCTAAAAAAGGCCACCTAGAATTTTCGGGAGCCTTTTCCTGGCTGAAATTTTCGAAAAGGTAAGTTTTGAGCCCTATAATTTTCGGATCACTAGACTTTCAGCTAGGAAATCCGAACAGATGAAACGTTTTTAGGAGATAAAAGTATGCCTATAACTACCGTTTAAATACTAAAATACGTTCAACAATGCTATGTTAAGTGGTTTTGAACTATATCCTCGTTGGGTGCCCCTGAAACCATCCTTTTCCTTCCAAAAAATAGAAAGGACAACCGAAGTATTTCAAAAGAAAAGATTTAAAAAAGGATAAACAGGGATAGCGTGCAGTAAATTTTCACTTTCGTGTAATTAGTACGTGCGTAAATAAAATACAAGAGATGAAAGGTCGCGCGCAAACGTGAAAGTTAACTGTCCTTTCAATGGAGTTGAGTGAGTTGAGTTTCACTTTTAATTAAAGCGCGACCTTTTTTACCGTGTCATTTACGGCAAACGGTTAACGTCAAATTCAAGTTGAGAATTTCTCAAAATAGGAAACGTTCAGCTAAAAACAGTCCAAAACAATTGTTATGAACAAAACAGTGAAGAAGCGGTAAACTTCGTCACGTGGTACAAAGGCACGTCTACCGTAAAACTTGACTCTAAATCTCTCTACTGCCGCACGTACGCAATTAAAAATTACGAGACAGTGGAAATTTACCCTTAAACAAAGTAATGATTATCCCGATAACAATTTTCCGATCAAAACCTAGGATTCGAGGGAAATTTCTGTATTGGCTCCCTTTAATTGTAAGGTTTGCTAATTATGCACAAATATCAAACAAAAAAACTCTGCGATAAGATAGAGGTGTAAAAAAAGGTCATTATCGACAGTTAGCTATTGCTTGCTATCGCTTTTCAAGTCAGTTATTTTGTACAAGTACATTATTTATTCTTGATTTTGCCTCTGTACATTTTCTTCTTTATCTATGAAAGAACAATACTTCGTTTGAAATTTGATTCAGGTGGAACTTTACATTTCCTATTGACAGGATATTACTGCTATTTCTTTCATTATCTGCCTTCATATCATGCCACGTGCGTGAGTAATAAATTATTTATCCATTTGGCATAAAATATTCAATCAAACTTTCAGCTCGCTCAAGGTCATTATTCTAACAAAGCGTCACTTGTGCAACGATTTCAGACTAGAGCTGCGGCATTAACGTGCCCACTGAAAAAAATATTTTTCTCGCGCCAAATAATTTAGCCGATTCTTCAAAGAACTACCTAATATCGATTGAACAATGGTTTATGGAAAGGAATATACCGAAAAAACAAGGCGACGCGAATTGCAGGCGAGTTTCAGCGTTGAAAGTTACTCATCCGAGAGCGGTAGCGACGGAGAAATAGGTATAACAAGTTTAACTGATACCAGAAAACCTGCCCACTCACAAAGAGCAAAAACCAGTTTTCACCGGCTTATAAACCAAATGGGTTCAAGCACAAGAAAACTAGAGGAAGAAACTTCAGGGCTTCTACGCGACTTGGTAAGATTTGTATAGAAGAGAACCGATCAAAATTCATCAAAAACGTTCCTAAGTTTCATTTATTAAGGTGCTGAAAAATTAATAGTACAACAAGGGTGCCTCCAAGACTGGGTTTCATTTGAGGAATGGCCACAACAAGGATTTCGGCCACGAACTCAAAAGCTCGAACATTTCCTTATAAATATTTCTTAGAAATATAGTTTGATTCAGCTTCCTACAGCCAACCAGCTGCTTCCGTCTGACAGAAGCCAGGAGAAAAGATAATAAGCTGTCTTTCAAAAATATACTGTCAGTAGTTGTAGAGACTATGTCGAATTCTAAAAATAAAAAAAACGGGTGCAGGGCATATTTGGAGTTTATAGATGCATATTTTAGGATTTAGAAATTTATAACGTTTTGAATTAAATAGTTAAAAATTTCTCCAATAACAGCACAAAACAATAAGATATAAACGCCATGCAATCGTGAGAATTGGGTACCTTTTAGACGAAGTCAGTATCCGATTATTAACGTCGTTTTCGTCGCAAGACTAGGTGCTTAATTACCACATAGCAAAACTCCAATTATAACAGACAATGCAAAACACGAAGTTTCAAACACTTATCAAAACATTTTATTTCGGGAGTTACTAAAACAATCACACAACAGGTATTTTCGGTATAAAATTAAAAACAACTTTTTGCTCGGGTTTTTTCTTTTAATTCTGAACATACACTTATCTTTTTGTAGTAATTATAAAAGACATCGGATTAATGGGCAACCTCGAGTTATAATTACTTTTCCCGCGTATTTTTAGCTCTTGGAAAGAAATGTCTGCTTGACTATTCTATGTTTTTGACATTTCACCATGACATTGTTTTTCTTTTAATTAATTGCCAGCATTGTTTTGAATAATGTTTCCACTATCACTTGCATGCAGTGTCTCTTAAATAAAGTTTTCAATTTAAGTCGAAAATTTTTAACTCCTTATATACTTGAACGACAGAGAGTCGATTTTTATTTACGACATTTACTTGTCCCTGAGCTTGTTTTAAAATTATCAACAACATTTCTTTCCGACTTCAGAGCTGTGTCGAGTTCTAGTTTAAAAGTTTATTCCCAAACTGTCTTTTTAAACTTTAAAACGACATCGCAGTCATTGTTCCTAACATAATGATTTCGATAAAAGCATGTTGACCATGTTACGTGTTTTCTTTAATCATCTCTTCATTTTCTTCACAGGATTCTCTTCGCTCGCAGAACCTAAGCACCGGTAGACGACTTCAGCGACTTGAAAAAGTCTCAGACGCCATGAAAGGACAAATGGAGGCTTTTACTCTCAGACAGGGCAGCAAGCCAACGACGTCTTTATAGCAAACCTTAACAACGCAAAAATAGAAAAGAAAAGAACGAGGTTTTTTGAAATTGTACGTCACTTTTTCACATTAATGAGCACCCGGGACTTGCATTGATCGTACCAAATCATCCCAGGAACACCCCTAGGGTTCTTTTAAGATACGGGGAAAAGCCCTGAGGATGAGGCTGTACGTACGACCCTAAGGATTTCATTCAAACTTGATGTATTCTTGCCATAGCGTTTCCCGGCCTGTTTATTAATTGACCAGTTTCCTCCGAAAGAAGAGCGCAGGTAGAGAGTCCTCTAGAAAACCAAAGCAATAAAATCCCCATGAAATATTTAGGTGCTGATGTTTCACTTTCGTCTCTATAGATATAATCAAAACCAACTGGACTTAAGCGTGTTTGATTGAAATTTCTAAAATAAATTGATATACGGATAACTATAATTTGTTTATTGATATTACTCACTCAGTTAGAATACATTCCGGCACGCTTGCAGTGTACTACAATTTATTTACAATTTGAATCAAGAGTGTAAAATAAGGACATTTTTTTGACTGCCTTGAGTACACGATTAGTTTTAAATCATAATCACTTAATGTGTGTACTAGTTACAAGTACAAGGACGCAAAACAAGGGTTCGTATATCAAGTAGAAAACTGATTATTGATGAGTAAAACACCATGAAAGCGTACTTTTTAAGCAAAACGCTACGAAAAACGTAACTATTTGTCTAATTTCAGGTTCCTAAATAACTGGGAGTCTTGAGTGAAGATATGTGATTGAAATTTTTCCAGACAAGGACTTGCCATACACAAAGCGCCAGTTACTCAATGCTTGTTTAGAGAAGAGCAACCTGCGAGCTAACCTGCAATCAGGCGAAACGGCTGATCGCATGCAGGCTACTTGCGAGCAAGCTCTTCAATCATGGCGCGCGAAACAGGCGAGCACTAGCGAGCAGTGAAGCCGCGAGACTTCACGCGACTCCCCAAAATGAAGAGCTTGCCCGAAGGCTTAGATGACTTAGAGAAGAATAACTACAAAAGATCCTCCGCGCGTTATACGCGTACCTCAACCAACCCTCTATCCACTTGCCCTTTTTCCACAAAACGGTTAAAAGAAATAAACTAATCTAGTACCCTTTCGCATAATTCATTTAATTTCTCGCCACTGTTGTTGTTAATTTTATCCAGACGAAACTTATTGCGAACTATAGCGCGAATTCTTTCTGAAAATGGAGAGTACTAAGAGAGAAAAGTGTCTCGAAGAAAGCTATTTCAGCCTGGAAGAAAACTGAAGCGCAAGGCAATATTAGTTGTCATGATCTTTAGAGAGTTTCAGAACAGAAATCCAATAATCATACTCATACAGGTATAATCCCTCAGGACTGTGCCTGAATTATTTTGGTAATGATAAAATACATGAAAAAAATTTATTGAATCTGATTGGCTGGGAGCAATGTAGATTTCAGTAAACACAGTAGAAACATGAGGAAACATAATGCAAAAACAAGGAAATAAAATGAAAATATTGATCACGTACATTTTTTCATGCATATTATCAGAATTATATGCTTCTGATATTATTCAAGAGTAATCATACGACTTTCCTTGTTCACAGTTTTGGAATTTTTTCGTACTTGTATGTTTTTCAAAAAGCTTAAATGGCATACGCCCGAATATTCATACGCTTTGAAAAACACACTAGCAAAATTTAAATTGAATTCGAAGTCGTATACAGCTATTTCGAGAAAGGTTTTCGGAAAAAGTGCATGCGACAATCCCGAAAGGTATTGTGGATGGTTTTAAGGTTCACTGTTCTTCAAAGAATTTTGAAAGAATGGCACGACAAGCTATGGACTGATGTTTGCTAGTGCTAAAGGAAAGCAACCAAAGTAGGTCGACAGCTACACTGTCAGGAACAGTGTAGTGATCATATCCCAAATTGCCTTTCGGGATTGTCGCGTGTACAATTTTCCGACAACCTTTTACGAAATAGCTGTATAAAAGCTCCGCCATACTGTATTCGCTTACGATACGGTATTATAAAGTCGTTTAGCGAGACAGAAGTCATTTTTCTCGCGAAACGTTTCAACGAAGGGGAGCATTAAGGAGTTGGTGCTCCACAGGCTGGAGATTTCATCAGTATGTGGCCAGGAAGTTTTTTCAAGCCTTTGGGTTTACAGTGTTGCCGTTTGTAGAAGACTCAGGAGCAGGGTTCGTTGCAGAGCCTCTCCTGGCTTTCACGATCTTGATAATGAGTACCACAATATCCACGATAAACACCACGAGGGCAAAGAATCCGAACGCCTGAAAAAAGAGCGCGCAAAATTTAATACAGATTAACCTTCCCACGTACTAAGTTCAAGACGAATAGGCCCTTTGCTGGAGAGCAAAAGTCGCACTGGGACAAGACTAACAAAGAAAATTACAATGTAAAATTATGTATGTCTTTCGTTTATCTTGTCCCAGTGCGGCTTTTCCTCTCCAGCGTGGCGGTTTTGTACCACGTGAATGGCTAGCTGCAAAGGGCCTATTCAGTCAAGTTTCGTCTTGGGAAATTTTAATAGGCGCTATAGCACTAAAGAGGAGGTTGTATTTGATTGGTCAGCAGTTTTAAGCCACTCGCTTTAATAATTATTGGTAGAAGGGAAAAGAATGAAAAAATTCAGATTTCTTCCTAGATATACCAGAACAGAGGCTCTTATCCCTGAGCGTGCAATTCCCCTCAATTCGCACAACGGCGTTTCATCAAGAAAGTTTATTTTTAGATAAGCCTTTCCCGCAACATTCAACTGTTACCGACGACGTCCGCATCTTAAAATATAAAACTATGAAAATGACGACCAACGACGCGCGAATGGTTCGATTAGTATGTAATTCCGTTCTCCATGGCGAAATTGAAATTCACGACCTTCTAATATGTCTTACTTTTCTGTTATCTGACCAACCGAGTTATGAGACTAGTTTTGGAAGAAGTAATCTAAGGAGCGAAGTTGCGAATTCATATCTCACGAACGGTGTAAAATATTATTTTTCTTGAATCCTGCCGGCATATGCCTATTTCCGTTCTAGGACGCTCAAAAAGATACATCTCAAATTCACTTTACTTTCCGTCCCGGTGCAAAAGCTCTTCCGTTACAACTGTTGTTGTTTTAAAGTGAGACATTTTGCCTTTGTTACTTACCACGCCAGCCCCCATTGTTTGATAAAATCTTTTACTGACGCCAAGGTTTTCGTTAACATCAGCCGCAGCTTTGCTTCCGCCTTGACCTAATTTACTTAACTGTGACGTCAGCTGTGACGTGGTGGTCCCTACTGTCCCGTAGTAGTTAGCGACCTGTCCCACCAAGGAAGCACTGATAAGAATCAACAACGCCCATAAAACTTCAAACCCCAGAAGCTGAAATAAGAATTAGTCGCAAGTCAATTGGCTATTATGAAGTTCCGTGTGAGACTGGGCATGGGTCGATACTGTGTCGCACTGCATCGGAGGATTGTTTTCGAGGACAAATTTTAACACAATTTCGAATTCCAGCCAAAGCTTTAAGGTTTTTTACCGTAACAATGTCTTTTCATATTAACAACACAGTTAAAGTGGCATTCTACCACCTTAGAAATATAGCTAAGATTCGTAAGTATATCAATGCCACTACGGCTGAAGTTCTTGTGCACGCATTCATAAATTCAAAGCTGGATTTCTGCAAGTAGCTTTTACATGGTCTTCCCAAGTATGAAATTAACAAACTGCAAAGTGTCCAAAACGCTGCAGCGCGTGTGATTGCCTGCTTAAGTAAGTTTGATCATATAAGTGATACTGTAATGGAGTTGCACTGGCTACCAGTGGAGCAAAGAATAATCTTTAAGATTAATCTTATTTGTTTTAAGACACTCAACAATTTAGCTCCTGATTATTTGGTTGACCTAATCCGTGTTTATGAACCTGCGAGGTACCTTCGATCATCTTCAGACAAGTGGCGTCTTGTTATTAAACCCTATAACTTAAAGACATACGGTTTCAGGGCTTTTTCAGTCATTGCCCCTATACTCTGGAACGATTTGCCTATTGACATTAGATCGATCGATAATGTAAATAAGTTTAAATCTAAATTGAAGACCTTTCTTTTTAAACGAGTTTATGAACTATCTTAGGTTTTTTATTTTGTATTTTTGTGACTATGTATATACATATGTAAAGATTTTAAGATTTTTATTTTTTATTCAGACCTTTTTGAAGTGTTGTAAAGCGCTTAGCACTGAAAAGTATAAGCGCTATATAAATATTTTATTACTATCATTACTATTACTGTTTTTTCTCTTCACCAAGAGAACACGGATAGCAGCAAAATTCTAGAGCAAAAACCTCTCTTTCAAATTGGCACTCTTAATCCCCGAGGAATCAACTAACGCGCCTTCCATTCAACTTAATTTTTACGTTGACATGTTTCCACCAAGAACAGAGCTCTAATGGTATAAGCTTCACTCAACCCACAATCCATTGATTCGCTCTGATGAAGGTGCTAGTGATCGAAACATCGGTTTTTTTTTTCATCTCCCTGGTGGGGGGGGGGGAACAGGCGGGCGCCGGGGGGCCAAGGAGAATAATGAGCGGGAGGGGTGCATAAGGAGGGAAATGAAAGAGTGGGAGATGGTAGTTCTTATTAAAGAGCGGGAAGCGGGAAGTTAGGTGGATATTGCGTATTTATACTTAATATTTCGCAATCGAACAAAGGGCGTAATTAAGAGATAAATCCAGGAAGAAAAGGGGCGGAAGCCGGAAATGCTAGGAACGAAGGCGGGAGGTTTGGACCCCACCTGTTCCCCCACTAGCTACGGTGGCCAATCAGTATCTTATCAACTCAGTTGAAATCTTCGCTGCCTTTTCTTTTAGACCAATAGCTTGGTTTTTTGAAATTGTAAACAGTACCATAGCATACAGTATGCTAAGCCTTATTATGTAGCAAAATCCACGAGCGGGCAAGATGAAGTGTATTCTGCGTTCTAATTGGCTACCCGTTCAGGGATTTCCCGCGGTGGTCCCGCAAGAAAAAGCTCTCTTTTTGGCCATATAATAAATCCTCAACCTCGTCCCCAGGGAAGGGAAAAGCCCTGGGGACGAGGTCAATAAATCCTTTATTGACCAAACTTATTCGGTCAAGACAACTATATCCTGGCCTCGTTCTTTTTTGCGCTTGGTCAATAACGAATGAACATTTTCTGTGTCACTTACCAGAAATCTTGAGTCGAATTTCTTTATCAACTTTTCGGCTAGCATCAGAAGATAGAGGACATAGAAAGCCATGATACAAAGCCAGCCAAATATTAACACAAAAAGAAAGAAGCCATATCTTCCGTTGAACATCGTCCCCGAAGGAAGTACGCAGCAATCAGCCATACAGGCCCAAGATATTAACAGGAAAAGCTTTTAAAAAAGAACAATACAACAGCAACAACATTTATTGGCATTTTCATGAGTAGATGGCATTGCCGATTGCAATATTGATTATGTTAAGGTAAAGGAAAAAAAATACAAAGCAGGTTAGATGGACAGTTATAAATACGTTTGGATGATGCTAAAAAAATTGAAATAAACATCTCAAGGTTTACAATCCCAGCTGGCCGGAGACAAACCATTTGGCTATTCAAACGTGACCGAGGAGTTGACCTGGGAATTACCGAGAACAAATTCAGCTAACGGTTGGGGCGGTAGTGATCTCAGGGTCTCCTAGTCTGCTCCCCAGCCGTTTTTAGTGTCGCCACCCAACTCTCCTCCCCAAAATGGGGGCTGAATTATAATTGGCTAATCACCTGAAAGGAATGTGGTTCGGTTTTTAGCCTGCATGACAGGCGCTTTATGAGCCAAGCGGGGCGAACGCGATATTTCGCTCGGAGCGCGAGACGAGCGTTTGCCTCGCTTGGCTCGTAAAGCGCCTGTCATGCAGGCTATTCGGTTTTCAGCAGCCGTTAGTGGGGAGGAGCATTGCGTGACGACCCTAGAAACGGCTGTGTAGCAGACTAAGGGTCTCCAGGTTGCAATTCCAGCGTTCTGAACAGCTCGGGCACGCTATCTCTCGATGCATAAAGAGGACAGATCATT